GCAACAGTTTGAAAATTTTGTCACTAAAAAGTTACTAATTATAAGTTTTAGTAACAATTTATAAAAATCATGACAAAAATTCATTAATTATCAATTTTTAGCAATATATGCAAAAATTAACAATAATTTTACTAGGATTTAATAAGAATTAAGTTCACCTATTAGGACCTATTGATAGTTTATTCTTAAAAATATGTAAGACTAATTGATACAAATATCTTATTTTGAAACTAGATAGTATGCCCTACCGATAAATTCCTCATAAAAATTTGATGAAACTCAGCCCAAGAGGTGAGCCCACCATCCCTTGTGTCTTATTTTAATACTAAAAGCTGTAAAATATGAACATTCTTAAATTTATTTATTTATTTTTTAAATCTCAAAGATCACATGAATTATTAGACTTGCTATAAGTATGAGTCCTCGTTTGGCAAGTGATTTTTTCAAGATTTGTGATTTTTTTAGTCATAAAAATATAAAATAAATTAAAAAGTTAATAACGTAAAATGTCACATTTATGCTTCGTTTGGGAAGTGGTTTGACTTTTTGGCTTTTTTGGTTATTTTAGCCTGGGCTAAAAAGCTTAATTTGGGAAGGACTTTTTGGCTTTTTGGTTTTTTTTATTTTTTTTTGTGAGACAAGAATGTAATGATTTTGGGTTGGATGTGATGTTTTGTTTGTTATGGCTAAATTTGACAACCCTCACCTCTGATTAGTGGTAATCTATGATTAAGTATGATAAGTAACTGATAAGAATGAAATTCCAAACTGATTGTATGAGTGTATTGTTTTGAATGCATTTCTATCTGTTTGATTTCTGAATGAATCTGTTCATGTTTTAACTTTGAACTGCGAATTGAAGGTCTTATCAGCGACCGAACCAGAAACAGATTGGTGTTATGCGTTAATTAGAATTTATGTGATTTCATGGTAGATTTAATTAAAATTTGATTTGGAATGATTAAATTAGATTAAATAAAGATAAATTACATTAGTTTGCAACAACTACATCTTTGCCATTGAGTGGGCCACTCTTAGAGTCATTGTTTGGAGCTTGGTTTTATATCATTTCTTCAACCACTTTGGAGACCATAACCGATTCATTGAGATTTTGGCTTGGAGAATTGGAGGAATTGAAGGGAGATTACATGTTTGAGCTTGTATACTTTGAATTCAAGGCCTAAGGTAGGAAAATCATCTTCTTAATTGTGAATTCAAGTTATCTCTTGCATGTTTCATGGAAATTTGGAATTAAAGTCAAGAATTGAGTTAAAGAGTTGATTTGAGTAGCTAATCCATGCATGCATGCATATACTCTAGCATTTTGAGGTTGTTTTCATAAGAATTTCCACATGCATGTCTACATTTGGGTTGTAGTCCATGAATTCATCATGTTTTGGAGTTCAAACTTGCATTTGGTTATGTTTTGGAACATTGGAATCCATTAGAACAGTTACATGCGATATTGTTGCATTGTTCTTCAAGTTTCCTTTGAATTTGTGTTCAATTGACTTACCTATGGATCTTTGAAACATGTTATACTATAAGTCTTCAAGTGTTTTCCAGAAATTTAGCCCAAAAGAATCGAGTTTGAAGCCTTAAAAGTTGAGTTTTGTGCTTGAGGATCAATTTAGAAATTCAAGATTTTGGATCCACGCTTGAGCGGAGGACTTCACGCTCCAGTGTACACTCTGAGTACATGCACTTTCGCTCGAGCGTAGGAAGTCACACTCGAACTTGAAATGCATATGCCCAGAAGTTCATATGTTTTGCAGTCCACTCAAGCAAGAGAATTCACGCTAGAGCAAGGATCTGAGTCTCACGCTCGAGCGGAGGTCGAGCGTCCGTCGAGCGTGAAAATCGTGCATCCAGTACTTTTCTAATGAGTTTACAGTCCGCTCAAGCGAGGGAAATCACGCTCAAGCGGAGCTCCTTTGTCTGCATGTTTGCTCGAGCGTAGAAAGCCACACTCGAGCGAGACCCTTGTTTTAGCAAAAATTTGAAAAGTGTTTTAAAGTGCATTTTTGCATCCTCATTCCATCTTAGGCATTCCTAGGCCAAGTTTAAGGCATCTTAATGAGGATAATGTTATAGAACCATACCTGTGTAGTTAGGGGCTAAGTTATTAATCCCGAGTGTGTGTTCGTTCTGCAACTGTAGGGTTGATATTCGAGGACGCTCGTTAGCTTGTCTCTAGCCCAATGCTCTGTGAGTAACATTGTTGTAAAGATATGTTTAATTATGATTATTTTCTGAATGATCAATTGTACTGCTTACTGAAATGTTATTGTTCAATGAATGAATGTTTGTCCTATTGGTAAACTGTATCTGTGGCATCCATAGCAATTTACTGCTACTGTACTGTTACTGTTACTGTTACTGTCACAGAGATCTCTGTTGGTTCCCATGCTTTGAACCACTACTGTTACTGTTATGATGGCCATCGACTGACTATTCGGTCTGTTAAGACCTACTGTACTGTTTTGCGATGGGATGCACCACATATGACTGCTATGGTTTCTAAGTGACTGATATGACTGTTTAATTACTGAAAGGACATTCATTCTTAACATCTTTACATAACTGTTATTCACTGGCTTTAGCTCACTGTTTATATATATATGTAGGTGTCCAGGCACCGAACCGGAGCTAGAAGCGTCGGATTAGCTCTTGTTTTGTCAAGCCAACCACCGTGCCTCACCTCGAGGTTCCAAGTCCGTTCAAGCTACGGCTGTTTTGGGGTGTTCAGATTCACCCTTTTGTTTTTGTTTTGTAATAGTTGAACAAGACTTGACTGTACAGTTATAGTTAGGGATTTGATCCCTGACATGGATGTTTGTGTATATGTTGCATATATATATGTTTTGGTTGTCAATGTGGCATGTTTATAAAAAGTCTTTTTGCATTCAAACTGTCACAGCTCATTAGATATCTTTTATTTACTATTTTGGCTTCCGTCAGCCCCTTTACTCTGTATTACTGGCATTACTGTTAAGCAGGCCTTCGGTAATCACGGATTACTGGCCGGTTACGGTGCTAAACCCATAGGGGCGGGTTTGGGTCGTGACACTAAAATAGCCTATTTTATTTTTTGTGACTAAAATAGCCCCAAACCTATCCAAACCCACTTGCCAAACCATGCCTTAAATTATAATTATTTCACTTTTACTCTCATAAAAGTCAAAAAAGTCAACTCAAATGAACTTTTTAATCTTAGATTAAAATAATTAAAATGTAAAAAAATTAAAAAGTCAATCCACTTCCCAAATAAAGCCTTAGGTTTATAGATATCCTAACTTGTTAATGCTATAATTTATGATTTGTAAGATTACATGTTTGATTGTTGAATTAAATTGATTTGTATTGAGGGACAAAATTATTAATATGATGATATTAAGTTCAAAGTAAAGTAAATTGTGTTTAATTATGTGTTAGTGTTAGTGTGTTGATGTGAATTGAATGGAACTAAATTACATTAAAAATCCCTCATTATAAAAATAATTTTTTTTTCTTATTAAGTAAAAATGAAATAGTATTTTTAATCATTTAATTCATGAGATTTGATTATGAATCCTACTTTAATGGCAATGTTAATCTTACCCTTTGGAGTTAGCAATCACATGGAACTCTTCCCATGTCATTTTGAGGGCCTGACAATTATTTTTAGTAGTTTTTTTAGTCGATATTTTTGTTTCTACTAAACATTTTTTTTTTTTTCATTTTTAGATCTACTAAACTATAAATCTTTAAAAAAAAAATTTTAAAAAGTCCATTGAAGAAAATAAAACTAAAAAGATTAAGTATTTATTTTTAAATTTTTGAATTTTTACTTTTAAATTATTCCAAATAAAGACTTGAAAAATAAGAAAAATGACACATTTAAAAAAAAAATGTTTGTTTTTCAAGCAATGGAACAAAGCCAGGAAAACAAACTCGAGCAATGTTAATTATATATTTTATTCCTTCCGTCTTAACATATTTGTCTGTTATTTTATTTTTTATTATCTAAAAATATTGGTTATTTCTCAAAAATTAAGAATTAAAACAACATGAATTTCATATTTTGTCATTTTTTTAAATTTATTAATATTAATATACACAAAAAATATAATTATAACAATTGATATTTTCAAAAAAAAAATATTTTAAATCAAATGATAGTTTTAAAAATTAATATTTTTGAAGTATAATAATTGTATTACAAAAATAAAAAAGTTAAATTCTCTAAAACAAAAAAAAAAAAGCTATATTTTGGGACAAAAGAAACACTGGGCCTCGTTTAGGAACATACTATTTTAGTAATTTTATAGTTTTTTTGCTAAAATATAAGATAAAAAAATTAGTATATTTGGAATGACTTTAATTTTTTATGAAAAGATATGCAAAAAGTAGAAAGAAAATAAAATCTTTAACTTCTTAGAATAAGTTATAGGCGTTTTGACTTTTTTAATAACTTTTTGACTTTTAAACTAAAAATATTACATGTCAAACGAGTCCTTAATGTGAATATTTGGTAAAAAATTTAAGACATTTAGGGTTTGTTTGGAAAATAGGTTGCTTTTTGACTTTTTGATTATTTTAGCCTGACTAAAAAGTCTCGTTTAAGAAGAGTTTTTGATTTTTTGACTTTTTTTAACTTTTTTATAAGAGAAATATGATCACGCCTTAACATTATTTTATAAGAGAAAAGTCTCGATATTTTAACTTATTAAATTAAAAAAATTATTTTATTTTTTTGTAACTAAAAAAAATTCCAAACTTGACTTTCCAAACGAAGCCTTAACATTTTTGAACAAACTATGATCACGCCCCCATAGATTAACACTCTCCCAACCCAATAAACAAGGAAAAAAACTATATGCTACCATAATTAATTCTTATACAAAACATTTAAAAAACAATCCGATAATGACATATTAATTAATTATTATTATTCTGATTATTATAAATTAGGACCTAATCATAATCACACCCTCTGTGCTTTTTAAATGAAGAGTCCCAATTTTAGATTTGCGTAATCTAATGGGAGTCTTCAATTTCAATCTTGTACAACAATACAACACATGAAACACACACGGGTCAAAACTCAACCAAGATGTGTTCTCTCTTCTCTTCACTCCTCTCTTAATGTTCTAAACTCAACCCAACATTCATGTTACTAAACTAATCAAAACCCATTTCATAAAACTCTCTCAATCATCAAACAATGGCCTCGAATTCGATTCTGGGCCCTTGTTATCTGAATCTGTTCTGCCTTACATACTTGTCTATAATTTTTTTATGTTTTCTCGGCCACTGTTTCTCGTACGACCAAGTACAACAACGTGGTGGTCTGTACAATTCCTTCACCGTTTCGAGCTATAGTTATTCCAGAATTGAGCTTAAACCCTACCAATGGCGTTACATCAGAGGTACTTTGCATGTATACTCTTCTTATACATATACATACATACATATATATATATATATGGTGACGATTGGATTCGATTAATTAAGTTGTTCCTAATTTTTAATGGGTTATTGTCTGAAATGGGTCGAGGTCAAAATTTGATCTTTTTATTTTAAAATGGTTTTTTTATTGAATTTGTTATGTCAGTCTTTACTAATTTTTAATGGGTTAGGTTATTAGCTGAAATGGGTCGAGGTCAGAATTTTATTTTTTTTATGTTTTTTTTTTTTTTTGTCGAATTTGTTATGTCAGATGTTTTGCATGTATACTCATTCATTTATTAATGTATATGGTGCTGATTGGATTTTTAATTAATGAATTTGATTAATTAAGTTGTTTGTAATTTTTAATGGGTTCTGGGAATTTAATTTAATTTAATTTTGTAATGATTTTTGTAGAATTTGTTCATGTGATTGAATGGGTATTCAATTGCGTATTCAATTGCTGTTTAGTTTTTATGCTATTATATGTATTGTGTTTTGTTGTTTATGTGAAATATTATATGATGGATTTCACATGCTTTGTTCTGTTGTTTTCTAATTTAATATCACATTGTGGTTTAAGAGGGGAGAATTATAAAAAGCTAAGAAGCATGGACACGGATACGTGACACGACACGAGTACGACACGGACACGCCGACACGTTAATTTTCAAAAAATGCAGGACACGACACGAGGAGGACACGCATGAAATATATAATTTTATATATTTATTATATATTATATATATAAATATATCATTCAAAAATAATAAAAAATGCAATATGACACTACTTCTTATAAATTTATATGGTTTTTATTTTATTATTGTATCTTAAGTTATTTTGTTCAAACTTATAATTAGTTTTACGTATGTCTAATCGTTAGACACGTGTGTTTAAACGATTGACACGTGTGTCCAAAGAGTGTCCAAGTCTTTAAACAATAGGACACGTTTTGAAGAGTGTCGGACACGTGTCCTAAGAGTGTCCAAAGAGTGTCGGTGTCCGACACGTACCCGACACGGATACGTCACCTTCCTAGAAGTGTCCGTGCTTCTTAGATAAAAAGTAAATGAATTCAGGCAAATAGTTTCCGAACCTTGCCGTTGACTTGGGTTTTTGGATTTGAGGTTTTTTTGGTTTATTAATGGGATGTGGCCGAGTAGTTTATTTCTTAAAGAACATTAAAATTGGTAAAGTTATTCGAAAAGATTTAAGATCTATGTTTTGTTTAATTTTTTTTTTCTTGGGATTTTACTTTCTGTAGAAAATTGTGGATATAATTTTAAATAAATTTTAGACAAAGAAAGAGAAAGGATTCAACCAGGTGATCCTTGTATCTAACTAGAAATAGCCCTGTTTGGTTGTGTTTTTGTTCTCCTCGTTTTTGTTTTTTGTAACTAATCATTTTATGTTTTATGCGAACATTGGATTTTTATGTTACTGTTATTTTTGGTGTATATCCCGGTTTGCCTCTCACTTTCGGCTGCAAATAGTTAGACCTCCAATAAAGCGGTTTCAGGTCTGTGTATGCACTACAAAAGACCATGCTTATTATTTCATTCTTTAACTCTCTTTTCTATCTTAATATCTCTATGTAATTTCAGAAGTCATGATGAACTAGAGATTTTTAGTGGTTGATTTATTTCTTTGGTTTTTGTGTCTTGTTGCAGTTGATTTGCCTCAATGGTTCTCTTCAATGTCTATAGCGCTGGAGTCAGATGTAGACCTTGTAAGTATTCTTATCAAACTTTCTCCAGTTTGCTTGTCCAATGTACAATAAACATGTTTGATAGCTACTTCCTGACTTTCGATTTGTTTTGTTGCAATCAAGTTATCCTCTCCTCCCCCTCCCGCCCCCCAAGAAAGTGTTTTCTTGACTTTTATATAGAAATTAGAGTTTTCCTACAGTTGTTTGATTGTTATCCTTTGGATTTCTCATGTGCATAATTCAAATTCTTTCAGGATACAAAAAGCATTAAGAAAGTTCCCACAAGTACGCTACCAGTGATATGCTTACGAGAAGGGAGCCCCCCTCTGCCAGATGCTTCTAACACTTCTTTGACAGGTTTAGGTAAAAGTTACCTAGATAAACTTGTTTAATTCATATTTCACATTCCCTTAAATCCTTATCGAAATTTTTGTTGTTTACTTGAGTCCTTTGCATTCATCTCTATCTAGTCCATGTTTTCTATGGGGTTATCATCACTTGCGCATGAATGCATTTAATAAACAATTGAACCTATTACACATCTTTATGTCCTAAAAATTGGTTTTCATTTTAAATGAAGTCACATCAATACTCAAATCTTCCTAGGATTTTGTTCATGTTGCTATGTTCTGTTAGGAATTGTAGAACACCTAACTAGGATTAATGAAACACGAAAAACAAATAATCAAGAATTGTAAATTGCGCACACACAAGAACAGAAGAACACAAGATTTACGTGGTTCACTCCAAAACTAGGATTATGTCCATAGTCACTACAGTTTCACTTTGATCAAAGGATTTGCAAATGGGATACACACATAAGTAGGGCTACAAGTCACATGCGCGGAATACCAAAATACCTTTACTCAGATTCGTGATCGAGTGGTAGTGTCTAGTACTTATTAGGATCCACCCTACCCTAACTTATTATTCATAACTCTGTTGGTTTTTGACCATTATTTAACATGGTTCCATTAAAGTGCTTATCCGTTTGTGGGTGTTTTTATTTATTTTGTTTTTTACTTGTGCTTATCTTTTGAATCAATTGAGAATTGTTTTTCCTTTGCTTCTTTTGTTCTTTTCTTCACTTCTTATCTTCCAATCGCTATGTTTTAGATGTGTTTCTCTTCTCACTGCAGTTTTAGATCCTATATCAAATGGATCTTTTGGAGACATTCAAGGTCTTCAGAATGCAGAACTGTGCTATCCCCTCCAGAAAAATATATCTGTGATTCTGACGAATGAGCAGGTTCATTTCTAAATGTTTGAATATTCACTCTTCAGTGTAATTTTCTTTTATGTGTAACTTGGAGGGTTATGCAGCTGTGTGGCAGTGCATAGAGTATATGATAAATACTTTCCTTAGTTTTTTTTTTTTTGGTTGTATTTGTCATCCAGTTAATTAAAGTGAGTTTGACACACAAAGTTGTTATACAGATCTCTCCCGGAGTCTGGTATTGGGGCCTATTTAATGGCATCGGACCTGCGAGGACACAGTCAAAGATGGTACTCTTTAATCTTTGTTAAACTGATGTAATGATGCTCAATATCTTCTTCACTTCATTTTTGTGATACGTTTCTTGTTTGATTGTGTTGTGTATGTATTTTTCTTTGGGTACCTTATTCCTTTTGATAATGTTTCATCCACTAATTTATTCTTGCTGTATGTCGTTTTCACATTGCATTACACGGGAAAAAAAAAAGGGGAAGAAAGAAAAACTCTTTTTCTTTGGGTACCTCATTTGTTGTGATTAGTGACATTTTAAACTTGTATATGAAATTGGAAGGAACTTTTAATAATGCTGTTCTGACATTGCAGATTAATCGAGGTTCAACATACTCAGTCAGTGGCAATATAAGTGTGGAAGGATGTGCAGCCCCGACGCTGTCAGGCCAATATTGCAACCAAACAGTTGATCTGCTTTCCTGTGCTGATAGCTCCAATTTAACCCAAAATCTCCTAGATGCTAAATTGTACAATCAAACAGCAGAGAATGTGGTCTTTTGCAGAAATTCAGATCAGAATTCTTGTCATGGAGTCAGTGAACCGAAAATCTACTCCTTGGATGTAGCGGGGATAGCAGAACAATTAACCATAATGGCAATGAATGTGAGATTGAATGAAACAACTTCGTCCAATGGTACTGGGAATGATAGTGGAATTATTTTGATGTGTTATGCACGTCAAGGTGCAATACCACTGCCCACTCTGCATGATTATTCCTCCAACATCAGTGAAGGCCCTTTGGTTATACGCTCTCCGAAAGTTGGTCGTTGGTACATTGCAATTCATCTTGTTAATTTGTCAAGTGAAATTGGAGGGTTTGAGGGCATGAATGTGACTGTTTGCTATTCATTGGACTGGCTGATGCTTCAATGTCCTGAGGGTAAGGCTGGATTGAACTGTACATGGGAAAGATACATTCTTCAGGTGGGATTACTCATTATTCGTATTGTCTGCATTTCCTATTTCAATTTAGGTTTTCATCTACTTTGAATTCGATAATTGCTTTGATGCTATATTTGGTTTCAATGCATATCCTCCAAGTTGGATAATTTGCTTGTTTATAGTGGTACTGAAATTGACCTTAGGCGTAGTGAGAAAGAAATTTCATGGGGAAATGCTATTTATTACCTGATTTATTTCGCCAGTCCTGTGTATTCATCCAATGAAAGTCGTGTGTATGTGTAGAACCCACCATATTTGTTTTTTTATTATTTATTTTAAAAAGGTGAGACTTACCATGCCATGTGGGAAAAGACCTAGGAGGTGAAGAGTTTTGATAAAAAATTCCAGTCAATGTAGCATGGACACGGACATGGGGCACGACACTGACACTCGAAAACGCAATTTTTCAAAAAATAGGAGACACGACACATTGGGGACACGTTTAATATATATAATTTTATTTATTTATTATATGTCTAAAATAAAAATAAAATCATTAATTCTTATACAATCACAATAATAATAAAATTAATAACATAATTTTTAAAAAAATTAATAAAAAATGAGTTTTTTAAAATAAAAATAATTTATTTTATGAATTTTAAGTTTAACAAAAAAAAAATAGGTATAAAACAAAAGAAAAAAGAAAAAAAAAGAAAGGGAGAGAGAACGTTGAAAAAAAAATATAAAAGAGAAAATAGAGGAGAGAGAGAGTGAAGTCAAAAAGCAGAGACAGACAGAGTCAAAAAAGGGAGAGACGAAAGGGAGGAGGAGAGGAAGAAAATGAAGAGGAGAAGAAGAAGACCAGAGAAGATGGAGAGAAGAAGAGAAGAAGCAGAATACCTCAGCTTCTTGGATTGATCTGAAACAGGTTAGGCTTCTCTCCCTTGATCTCTTTCTCTCTCCTCTCCTCTCCTCCCTTGATCTCTTTCTCTTTCTCTGTTTCTGTCGATCTCTTTCTCTATCTCCGTCGATCTCTTTCTCTCTTTTCCTGTCTCCGTCGATCTCCTTCTCTCTTTCTCTACCTCCTCTCCAACAGTTAGGGCTTTTCGATCCCCCTTAGGCGTGTCCGGAAAGTGTCCCACCATGTCCATGGCGTGTCAGACTGGAAGATTTCAAAAAAAAAAAAGAGACACGTTTTAGAGAGAGTATCGGACACGTGTCTACCTCGTGTCCGACGCGTGTCAGTGTCCGACACGTGTCCGACACGGACACGTGTCTACCTCGTGTCCGACGCGTGTCAGTGTCCGACACGTGTCCGACACTCGTACGCAGTGCCTGGGGACGTGTCGGTGCTTCATAGATTCCGGTGATATATTTCAGCCTTAATTTCATAACATGGTATACTGAAGGCATATTGGACCAAGGAGTTTGTGCCTTTATATTAAAAAATTTGGCATAACTGAACAAGTGTTCATACTTCAGAATGTTTGACTTGAAACCATGAATTGGCTGAAATATTAATAAAGTTTAGTAATATCCATTAGCATATGCTGCCATGCCTTATACGATGAAGGCAATTTACCTTAGACACATTTTCTTATTTACAGTTCTAATAGTAGTTTCATATATTGGTTGTATTTCTGTTTATGAATGCCAATAAAACCAAACCATACTAAGACTTATGCCCCAATCAAGTAGGGCTGGCTATATGAATCCTTTTTACCATTCTGCTACGTCAAGGGTTATATCCTTAGTTAAATTTATGAATGCCAAATACTTGTCTTAAATCTGGTTACATGCAGCTTTATTTCCTTCGTGTCTATGCTTGTTGAATCCTGAAGAAAGTCAAATTTATGAATGCCAAATACTTGTCTTAAATCTGGTTACATACAGCTTTATTTCCGTAGTGTCTATGCTTGTTGAATCTTGAAGAAACTTATTTGCGGGAGTAATTTACTGACAAAGTGAGAATGATTGTGTGCAGACAGTTCTCAGGAAGAATCCATCCGACACTTTCGAATCTTATTATTTACCAATAAGTGGAAAGGTTTCGTCAGATTCAGCTGATTTCCCTCTCGAAACCCTTTTAAGCAACTCGTCATACGAGGGAAAGTTTGATTTTGCTTGGACCTACTTTCTTTTGGATGCTCCTTTAGGTGCTGCAGGAGGCAATCTCCACATCCGACTAACATCAGATGCAAAGATAAATTATGAAATCTATGCCAAATATGGTGGATTACCGTCTCTTGACAGCTGGGACTACTTTTATGCAAACACAACAAGCAGCAGCAATGGCTCAATGTTTTTTAAGCTGTATGATTCGGATGATGATACTGTTAGTTTCTACATCTTGTATGTTAGAGGCGGACTGTGGAGTTTCGGGTTGAGGCACTTAAACCCTGGTGATGGTGCTTCCAAAAATCTAACTACTATGTCTATTTCAGTAGAAAGATGCCCAAGGAGATGCCTTCCTCACGGGAGGTGTCAGTCTAGTTTCGATGCAAGTGGATTAACATTATACAGGTTTCATTTTCAGCCTATTTTAAATATTTTATTTGCTTGGCAAGAAAAATGAATTTTCTAGACGATGACATGTTTCTTTCATTTCTTTCTTACCTTTGTGATTTCGGCTTATAGTACTGTATTTTCCATTTTTCAGTTACTGCTCTTGTGATCGAGACCATGGAGGCTTTGACTGTAGTGTTGAAATTGTAACACATAAAGGTAAATCTTATATTATTAATTATGCCAAACCAGCCTTTCTAACTGGTATCTGTCAATTTTTTGAACATATTTCAAGTTGCTATCATAATCTGATTTGTTTATTTTATGCCTTTCTCTTCCTAGTCGTGTTCGTGTATGCTAAACATAAGGTTGAAAGTTTATTTTCCACAATGAAACCAAAATATTGGGGACCGCTCTTTTGAAAAAATTCAAGTTAGCTTTTAGAAAATAAGAATTTCTTACACGGGCATTATGAAGAAATTGATGATTTTAGAGTAACCAGATTAGAGAATGATTGGGATATCATCCTCTATTTATATTAATGAAGATTAATAATTACAAAGCAGCCCTAAGGCATAGAATAATTACAAACTAATAACCCAAATAATAATATAATATGCTAACATTCCCCCTCAAGCTGGTGCGAAGATATCTCTCATGCCCAGCTTGCCTAATATATCATGAAATGGCTTATTCCCAACTCCCTTGGTGAGAATGTCAGCAAGTTGTTCATCAGACTGCACAAAAGGAGTACAAATGGTGCCACTTGTGAGTTTCTCTCTAATGAAATGGCGATCAATCTCAACTTGCTTTGTCCTGTTATGTTGAACCAGATTGTGAGCGATGTTGATAGCGGCCTTATTATCACAGTATAACCGCATGGAGTCCGTCTGATCAATACCTAGATCACTCAACAATAACTTGATCCATAAAAGCTCATACACCCCTTGTGCCATAGCTATAAACTCAGCTTCTGCACTTGACATGGCAACCGCATTCTGTTTCTTACTTCTCCAAGTAACTAAGTTACCTCCAATAAAGGTGCAATACCCGGAAGTCGATCTCCTATCAGTTACTGATCCAGCCCAGTCAGTATCTGTATAGGCTTCCACACGAAGATAATCATACTTTGAAAAATAAAGACCCTTACCAGGAGCAGACTTCAAGTACCTCAAGATTCTCATGACAGCCTCGAAGTGAATCTGATGAGGAGCATGCATAAACTGGCTAATCACACTGACAGCAACAGCAATATCAGGACGGGAGTGAGATAGGTAAATGAGCTGACCCACTAATCGCTGATAGCTCCCCCTATCAACAGCTTTTCCTCTTTCATCATCTCCTAATTTCTGATTGGGTTCCAGTGGAGTGTTACATGCCTTGCAACCAAGCATCCCAGTTTCCTTCAACAGGTCAAGCACATATTTTCTCTGTGAGATAAATATCCTATCCTTGGAGCGAGTAACTTCAATTCCCAAAAAATACTTCAAGCTTTCCAAGTCTTTGATTTCAAACTCACTGGCTAAATATTTCTTCAACAGAGGTATTTCCTCACTATCATCGCATGTAAGAACTATGTCATCTACATAAACAATAAGTGTTGTAGTCTTACCACGTGAGGAATGTTTTACAAACAATGTGTGATCTGCCTGACTCTGTTTGAAGCCATATTTAAGCATAGCCTGAGTGAATCTCTTAAACCAAGCCTTTGGAGATTGTTTGAGACCGTATAATGACTTCCGAAGCCTGCATACTTTGTCTTCTGTCTGATGATCCTCAAAACCAGGAGGAATGTCCATATATACCTCTTCTTCGAGGTCACCATGGAGACAAGCATTCTTGACATCAAACTGATGAAGTGGCCAATCTAGATTAGCTGCTAGAGAGAGAAGTACTCTGAATGAATTCATCTTAGCCACGGGTGCAAAGGTCTCCTGATAGTCAACGCCATATGTCTGAGTGAACCCTTTTGCCACAAGTCTTGCCTTGTAGCTCTCAATAGAACCATCTGCTTTGTGTTTCACAGTATACACCCATGTGCATCCCACAGGTCGTTTGCCCGTAGGTAACTCAGCCAATTCCCATGTGCCATTTTTCTTAAGTGCTTTCATTTCCTCAATCATGGCAAGTTTCCACTCAGAGGTAGCAAGAGCATCCTGAAAATGGTTAGGAATGCTAACAGAGGAAATATTTGACACAAACGCTCTATATGAGGATGACAAATGAGAGTAGTAGGACACAAAATGTGAGATAGGATGTTGAGTACAAGATCTCACACCCTTTCTCTTAGCAATAGGAACATCAAGATCAATGGACTTAAGAGATTTAAAGTTACCTGGACTCTTATCAGAAGCAGGAGATGGCAGTGGAGGAGCAGAAGTGGTCCCTTGTATCCAGTTAATTTTCTGTCTGTCTTTGTCCCGAACATAAACTTGCTCTTCCCTATCCTTGTCCTTGGTGACATTGGGTTCTGTAGTCCCAATAGAAGAGGTTGGTGCAAGAACAACTGGTTCTACCATAGGAATCACAGGACTCACTTCACACCAAGGCTCCCCTGGAAGGGAGGACTGTGACACCAGAGAGGACAAGAAATATGACTGGGACTCAAAGAAAGTGACATCCATGGACACAAACCACTTACGAGAAGGAGGGTGGTAACACTTATACCTTTTTTGAGTAGGAGAGTAACCCAGAAAAATACATTTGAGGGAGCGAGGGTCCAACTTACCACGAGTAGGAGAGTTATTATGAACAAAACAGACACAACCAAATATTTTGGGAGGAATAGAAAACAATGACTGGGAACCTAAGAGGACTTGAAGATGAGCTTGTTTTTGCAAGACCTGAGTAGGAAGACGATTAATAAGATGTGCAGCAGTGAGAACAACGTCGCCCCAATAGGACCGAGGCACACTCATAGAAAAACACATGCACTGAGCCATGTCAAGAAGATGGCGATTCTTGCGTTCCGCCACCCCATTTTGTTGAGGGGTATTGGTGCAAGAAGTCTGATGGATAATGCCATGAGTAGAAAAATATTGTCCTAACCCAGAATCTATGTATTCTCCCCCATTATCAGAACGGAATAGTTTGACAGTTGCCCCAAACTGAGTACAAATCATCTTATGAAAAGTGCGGAACACAGAGAGAACCTCACTCTTGTTTTTCATGAGATACACCCAAGTAGTACGAGTAAAATCATCAATAAATGTAACAAACCATCGATGACCTTTCACAGACATAACACGAGAGGGACTCCAAACATCAGAATGTATTAATGAAAAAGGAACTAAACTTTTATTAAAACTAGGAGCAAAAGAAGCTCTGTGTTGTTTTCTAAGTTGACATGACTCACAAAGAAACTCAGACACATTATTATTTGTGAAACCAGATGGAAATAAATGCTTAAGTAAATAAAAAGAAGGATGCCCAAGACGCCGATGCCACAGCCATAAATCATCTGGGATAGTAGGACTTGTGGTGGAAGAATAAGCAAGCTTGTTCGGTTGATCCAAGAAGTAGAGACCATTTTTTGCACTACCACTGCTAATCGTCCTCCTCGTGACAAGATCCTGAAAAAGACAATGAACAGGAAAAAACGTCACACTACAATTCAAATCCTGGGTAAGACAACTCAAGGATAACAGATTAACAGAAAAGTTGGGAACATGGAGAACAGAAAATAGAGGTATGGTAGGAGTGACGTGGACTAAACCTTTCCCCAAAATGGAAGAAACAGTACCATCTACAATCTTAACTTTGTCCTGACCTGAAAAGGGCTTATAGGCAGAGAAAATATCAGGGGAGCCAGACATATGATCTGAGACACTGGAATCAATAATCCAAGGCAAAGACTTATGAGACAGGAAAACACAAGGAAAAGAGGCTAAGTTACCTGAGCGGGCAAATGACGAGGAAGATGTACTGAGAGCAGTAGAAGACCGGTGGTCCAATAATTGACGCGGAACATCCTCAAGCTCATGAGTAAGCATGCTAGAGAGATCATTAGAAGCCGGGCCAACAGAAGCAGAATTAGAATCAAGTGTATCAACGGCACTAGACTGATGAGCTCGGGGATAAGAGCCACGTCCTCTAGACGGGCCTGACCGACCTCCTCTAGAACCAAACCGATCACCTCGACCCTTGGGGATAGGAGTCCCATGAAGCGTTCAACACGTCTCACAAGTATGCTGCGGCTTCTTACAATAATCACAGAATACAGACTCTTTGGCGGTAGACGGAGGGATGGGAGTCAGGCTGAGGCCATCTCGAGGGGTAGATAGTAATGCTGAGCAGTCAGTAGAGACAGGAGACATCATAGTAGACCGGCGACTCTCCTCATTCTGTCCATAGGCAAATGCCTCCTGAAGTAAAAGAAGAGTGTCCATACCCAGAACTTGACTCCTAACTAGATCATACTCCACATTTAGGCCTTCCAGAAATTTAAAGACCCGTTCCTGTCCGATGAACTTCCTGTACCCGACAGAATCAACAGTGCAAACAGGCTTATAGTCCTGCAGGTGATCAAGGCATTTCCAGCCGTTGGTGAGGAAGGTGAAGTACCGAAGAACAGTCTGCTCCCCCTGAATAGAGCTCTCAATAGAGCGGCGCAACTCAAACGCCTGTGAGAAATTCTCTTTGCGAAAATAGGTGGCAGCCTCAGCATCCCAAACATCCTAGGCAGTCTCCATAAACAAGTAGCCCTCACCAATTTCTGGAACCATCGAATGAATAAGCCAACCCATAATCAAAGAGTTGGTAATCTTCCATTAGTCATAACCCGGGTCAGTGGTGTTAGGTGCCCTGTATCTTGCTATCAACATACCTCATCTTCCCTCTGCTCTTCAAAAATATAGTCAAACTCTGAGACCATGCTAGATAGTTTTGACCATTAAATAGAGAGGTGGTGATTTTCAAACTAGGGTTGGGGTTATCAGGTATGGTAGTAGGTATAATGGAACTCTCACCCCTAGGTGTTGGAGAGGTGGTGGACACACTGGTGGAATCTGTCATGGGTACTATACTACCGAACTCGCAACAAAGCTAGTGGCAATCACAAACCTAGAAGGTGGTGGTGGAAGAAAAGACACAATGACCACTGTAAAAGTATAACAAAATTAAGAAAACATAATTTTTTTTTTTGGAGTTCTGTGCTGTGGTTAAGTTCTAATAAAGCACTCACCTACAACGACAATAGAGAATGTTAAGAACCAAAACAGAGGTGATACCAGATGGGATGAACCTGAAATGAAGACGGAAAGTGGCGAGCGACGACTGAAGCTGTTCAAGAGATGACGGCATAGGGGAAGTTGCCTGAGGCAGAGGAGCTACCAAGAGCAGTCGACACTAGCGGATGACCAACCCAGGTAAGTTTCGAACCCTAGAGTGATCTTTGTTGCTGAGTTCGACCAACAAGGGTGAGCTGAAACCCTAGACAAGCATCAACCCACCCGAAACTACGTGGGTCCTTCTCGGCTTGAGCCGAAGCCCCTCAAGGTGGAGTCGGCTTGAGCCGAGAGAGAGAGAGGAACTGGCGCCGGTGGTGGCTGGTGGCTCCGGTGGTGAATAGGAATAGTATGGGTAGATGGATTTAAGCGTTAGGGTTTGGCTCTGATACCATGCTGATTTTAGAGTAACCAGATTAGGATATCATTCCCTATTTATATTAATGAAGATTAATAATTACAAAGCAGCCCTAAGGCATAGAATAATTACAAACTAATAACCCAAATAATAATATAATATGCTAATAGAAATTAGCAAAAAAATCAATAGTTCTATATCGGTGATTTTTTTAATACTTATCTCAATTATTTCGTACTAGTTTGGAGCTACATCATTAAGATGTTATTGTATAATTTATGAAATTGTTATTTTAAGGCATTTTTTGGTTAATATAATTCATATAAATGACAAAAAATCTACTTATATATATATATGGAAAAAGCAACAAATCGCATTTACACATCAAATCAATAAAGATGATATCATACGTAATACGTGAAATAGATTGGGGTCATGCCAATAAATATTGTTGGAATACTCATGAATTAAAGCATCAATAAAAGAATTTTCAAAAAGTTGAATCATAATAAAAGATTTTTGAAAAACTTTCGTCCCTGCCTGGTTCATGCTTCTACACAGACAAACACACACTCACACGCACATATCTGAGGTGACTCTGGGATAATTGTTAGGTTCTGATCTTATTTCCAATTTTTCTCGAATTTGAACGTCAATTATTGGCTGGCTCAGATTATGGTTTCCACATCAAGCATACAAATAGAACTCTGTTTTTGTTGATTCTTTCTCTTCTGCATTTTTTGGCTTGGTAAAAACATTTATTCATGGCATGGCAATAATAATGGATGTTCTACTGAAAACTCATGTAGGGCACATATGGCAATCAACTGCCCTTATTGTTTCCAATGCTTTTGCTGTACTTCCTGCTTATTGGTCCCTTCGGCAGAAGGTAACATTCATTTGTTCATTGGGATTGGATTGGAAATGTTTTATAATTTTTTTTAAGGCTGAAAATGGTATTTACTTTTTGTCATAATATAATTTCCTGAAATGAAGTTGAGGCATTCAAGTAAGCTATTAAATTATTTGTCCCTGTTTTTGATATTAAGTCATCAAGATCAATTTTTTCATTCCTCGGCAGGCATATGCGGAATGGGTGCTTTTCATGTCTAGTGGTATTTCTAGTGGATTATATCATGCATGTGATGTAGGCACCTGGTGCCCATTACGTTATCATGTCTTGCAGGTATTATTTTTTTTCTCATGACTTCTATGTGGAAGTACTCCTATTCACAGTAATACGAGATAGTATCACTATCATATTCCTCTCTGTTGGATCGCCAATTGTCCCGAAAGGTTAAGCAGTTAGGAAATGGATCCAACAATTTATATTAATCTATCCAACACCCTTCTTCAAGTGTCTTGCATGTGGAGACAAATTGACATACATAGAGAGGAGTAGAATGCAAACGGAAAACAAGGGCAAATGGTGAGATGAACCAAGACCTCCTCCAACTTGAGTTCTATTACCATGTTTGATCACCAATTATCCCAAAAATTGTTAGAAAATGGATACAACAATTTTTATCAATCTATCCAACACCCTCCTCCATGTGCAACCCCATCTTGCACGTGGAGATGCAAACGAACATAAATAGATAGAATGCAAATAGAGAGACTTGAACCCAAGATCTCTCCAAACCTGAGCTTTGATACTATGTTAGGTCTCCACTGTGACCTGGGCGTCTCGGATTCAAACCACAAAAAGCCTCCCTGTATACATGGGTGACGTTGTGTACATCTGACCCTCCCCAAACCTTGCATTGGCGGAGCCTCGTGCATTGAGACTGTCCTTTGTTTGAGAGAGAGAGAGAGAGAGAGAGAGAGCTATTGTTATTGAGGGATTTCTATTTTTGAAACATTATTGGCTATTTAACCATGACCTGTTCTCAGTTTATGGATTTTTGGCTCTCTTTCATGGCGGTGGTGAGCACTTTTGTATACCTAGCTGACATTGGTGAAGGTCCTAAGAGGACAATTCACACAGTTGTAGCAATTGTTACTGCCCTCATGGCTGAAACCGGACCAACCAGGTATTAGATCATTTATCATCAAATTTATGGTATTTAATGGCAGGCTTTTAACTGTACTAAATTTTGCAGCTCAACCAATATTGTTCTTGTAATAGCAATTGGGGCTTCAGGTCTGCTTATTGCCTGGCTGATTGAATTTTGCACAAAATATAGGTCTCTTTCCTTTTCAACAGAAATCTTTCTGAATATCCTTGACAGGTGAGTTGTTCCATTATTTCAAAATCTTGAAAGCTGATTTAGATTTTGGATTTAGATCTTTTTGAGCTAAAGATGCAATCAAAATACAAAACCGAAAAGCTGCAATTAGATGGCATAATTGCAATATAAAGTTAGGGCTTATCTATGAGAAAGTATTTTATGTAACAGGTACACCACCTGGCCGAGCTGATGAAGTGTACTCTTCACTCGTTATTTGTCACGTGGTAAAAAGGGGGACCTGAGTTTGACGTGGCCTAACAGTCAGCTCCTCAGGTCGAGCACAAAGTGACTTTTTCAGTCCCACATTTACCGCATAACAAATAATGAGTGGAAGAGTATGTACACCACGTTAGCACGGTCACGTGGCATACACATTACATAAAATACTCTCTATTTGAATACCCATGGGTCTGAATGGTCCTACCGATATTTTATGTAAGCATTTCAAGTAGACATGATATGGTCGTCTCACAGTGATGTTAGAAATATGAACTTTGTAATTCTTGGAAGCCTGAAAAATGATTGTATGATTAGTGACATGGTAATTTTTTTCTATTTTATCCATAGAAAGTTCATTGGGGTCATTCAAATGAAGGGATGTCTATACACACCCTATTTATCGTAGAAAGTGCAATGGGCCATTTAAGTTCAAGGGACATCCAAACTAAATTTATTTTTCTATTTTGGGAAAATCTTTTTTAAACATTGCTATTGTCCATGCCTTGCCTCCGCATATGAGCTTCCAAGGCTGTTTGTTAGCTCAAGGCAATTGACGTTGAGATGTATATTAATATATGAAGCTAGAAGTACTAATAGAAATCGGGAAGCAATTAGAGTACTCTTGACACGTTTTTTGGGGTATGTCTGCACTATGCTAGAACACCTTCGTGGTTGCTCATGCAAATATTTTTACTTCAATGGAATATATTTAGTCGTAATTATGATTCTGAAGAAGTCATGGGTGTACATCTGCCGTCGCAGGTGGCAAACCATTAAGGGATGGCTCCATAATCTCATGATGACACTTGTAAAGCGTTTCCGATGGGAATTTGTACTTGCAGGGTTCGCTGTGTTAGCGATGGCTGCAATTAGCTGGACACTAGAGTCTAGCCAAAGCTACTGGATTTGGCACAGGTATGATAGGACATCATAACAAAATGCAAGCTTTCCCTCTTCCTAACCTGCTGAAAAGTTGTCTTGGCAGCGTGCCCATCCAATAATAGGGGGACACATGACTATCTTGTGTAAAAAGTAGGAGACTGTTTGGTGCAACTTGTGGAGATGTTTATAACTTCGTTTATTTTAGAAATCTGAGCCAAAGTGTTTGATACATTTTTTTTGTTGCAAGTTTTGATGCAAAAATAGCTTAAATATGTTGAAAAAAATTCATAAAGCTTGTGATTTCTCATTATCAATTTTTAGCTTGCTAGAAGTTGCACCAAACAGGTCTAAAGTGATCATGTGTCTTGCTATTGAGACACACCACGTGCGCAATAGGTCGGATTTACTAAATAATTTCTCTCTCTCTCTCTCTCTCTCTCTCTCTCTCTCTCTCTCTCTCTCTCATTTGGTGCATAAAATTGCTTTCAGTGTGTGGCATGTTACCATATACACATCTTCCTTCCTCTTCCTCTGTTCAAAAGCAAAAACCAGAGATGGTGAGAATGAAGGACCTCTGAATGCAAACTATGAGTTAACTCGGCAGGATTCTTTTTCAAGAGGTGGATAGCAAGATGGGGAAAGACAACTTATACTAGGTATAAGCCTTGACAGAATATGACGATTCGTGGTGATGCTGAGACTGATGAAGACAGTTTGCTTGCATCAATCAGAGCAACCACCAAATAAGATCATCAACTGAAGTAGTTTGCTGTAAATTCTTCTCATTGAATAGGGTATTTAGTTTTGGGAAATGGCTAATTAAGTCACAAGTATTTATCAATCTGTGCACAAATTTTTTTTAAAAAAAAATTATACAGAAAAGAGCTTAGGCAACAGAGAAATATCGCTAGGAATTAGGTTTTTTTTTTCCTTTAGATTTTTATCTTCTTTGCTACATTATGTTTATAACTTTGTATTATTCTTTCTATTAACAGAATAATAGAAGTAGAACTATTCATTTCATGTGTCAAAGCCTGTAATTATGTTCTGATTGGTTCTTCTTTTACACAGATTTTTCTACTTGTGTTATATATAGCTTCAAATGTAGTAAGGGCGTGTTTGGGTGTTCCTTTTCTGTAGTCATGTGGTTATGGACATAGGAGGTAGCAAAATATGGAGACAGTAATTTTAGTATCCATTTGACTAGAGTGAAAAATATGATGGAACGTGAAAGTGAAAATATGATAGAAAATGGAGTGAAACAAAAGAAAGTGAATAGAAAATCTATTTTTGCATTTGGCTAACAGGCAATTTTTATGAGAAAGTTATAATAATGTCTCTACTTTCATGAGAAAAAAGTAATTTATTTCTAGCACCACATTTAAAATAAAATAAAAAAGGAAGGAAAAAAAAACTGAACCAAATTATCATGTTGATGTACGTTGTAAAACAAATTGAACTTTCTCGCAGATGATGAGAAAAAAAAAAAAAAACATTAGAGATCTTGAAAAATTGCTCATAAATGAGAGAGAGAGAGAGAGAATTCAAGATGCATACATACACACAAGAAGCAAACCCCAGCCTTTACAAAACAACGGACATCATATAAACCCAACAAACAACCTTGAAAGTTACCTATGATCAATCTAAACTAGACTCTAAACTCTTCTCTCTTTTTTTTCTTTTTTTTTTTTCTTTTTTTTTGTTTAATATAATTTCTTCTACATACATAATCAATCTCAATTATTTGTGTTCTAGCATAAAAATCGTTAAACGCTTCATTTTTTTTCCCCTCTCTGCATCTCTCTCAATCCAATGCAAATTCGACTTGGCTAAATTGTAACATTGTGATTGAGGGATATACATTCATATTCATTCTTCTCTGATTATGCAACTCCTGAAGGAAGTGGAGGAGAGTGAAGGGGGATCTGAAGCAGATAACTCTCTGTAATCCTTTCGGATGCTCCATAGGATCTCTGCACATCTCCTCATCTCTGGCCGGTTCTTTCTGTGAGGAGCCAAGCATTGCAAAGCAAGCTCTAGGATTTTTTCTAGAGCGAAGTTATTCGCATTAGATTGATCCAGCCTTGGATCTAAAATCGAAATTGCATCTCCATCAGAAAATTTCTTGATGGCCTGCATTTTACACAATCCAAATCCAATTAGACATTCTACAAAATAAAAGTAAACTTATCAGAGAGGAAGAATTCTTCCTATATCTACCCAATAAGTCCATGCTTGATGACGTTTATATTTACAATTTTTTTATTGAGTTTGAAAATTATATATAAAAACTAGTTTAGTTTCTAATTTTGTTTTCAAAAATTTATTAGTTGTTACAAAATTTATATAATTTCTTGCAACCACATAACGTTGATTTCACTTGCTCAAAAAAAAAAAAAAAAAATTCATTACTTCTTCCCTGTCATATCCCCTCTAGCCACCACCCATCGCTCATCTCCACCACCAACCAACACATCCAGCCCACCGTCATCAGTAACTTCTTTTGACAACCATCGCTCATCGCCACCACCGACCAACACATCCAGCCCACCATAATTAGTAACTTCTTTTGACAACCTCCTCTAGCAATAACCTTTCGTGGCCAGCAATAACCACTAGTTGGTGGTGACCACCTTTGCCACCACCTCTTGTCCAAAATCACCTTCGGTCGCCACCTCCAGCCACCATATCCGGCCATCGACAACCACCTTTAGTCACTTACCTACTTCCAAAACAAGAGTATCAAACATGTTTTTTGTGTTCATTTTTTACTAAAAATAAACATAAATATAAACTTATTTAATATTTTTTTGCAAACAAAAAATAAAAAATTGTGCTTGTTACCTAACAATACCAAATCGTTTTCCCTAAAAAATGACCACTTTTAAATTTGTCAGGAAAAAGAAAAAAAAAAAGGGAGGATGATTTAACACAATTATATCAGAGATAGGAAGAAACAGAGTAATACCCATCTTGCTGTTATGCGTTCCTTGAGTTCCCGTTTAGATTCAATTGGGCGTCTGCCTGTGACTAGCTCCACCAGCAACACACCAAATGAATAAACATCGCTCTTCTCAGTTAGTTGATAGGTTCTCAGGTATTCCGGGTCTAAGTACCCTGCAGTTCCTTTTACTTGGGTGGAAACATGGGTAGCTCCTGAATCACTATCCGCTGCCAATCGAGCAAATCCAAAGTCGGCCACCTTGGCTCGTAGGTTCTCAGTCAGGAGAATGTTGGAAGACTTGATATCTCTGTGGATGATAGGGTGATCTACTTGCAAAGATATAATAGGGATTAACACAATCACAACAACCCCTGGAGACAAACAAACAAGGACAGGCAAGCAGTGATGAAAGTAGAGAGCTAACCTAAACACAGGAAAAGATCCATTGAAAGAAGGGATTCGGAGAGAGAAAGGTAGGAATTACGTAGACTCGGGTGTGGGTATCGGGTGTGAGTGCATATCTAAGAGTTGGACACTTTAAAACTAAAAATTAAGAATACGTGAATATGAATCTAAATTTAACTACGGGTACAAACTTACGTTAAATAATTATTTTTTAAAATATATTTATTATATAAAGATGAGTTAAATAGTTATTTTTTAAATATATTTATTATTTTTTATCTAATGTATTATTTTTATTGATAATATTTATATATTTTTTTTATTTTTAATTGACATATATATTATAAATAAAAAATATAACAAATAAACAATAACAAATTATGTTAAAATAAATAAAATAATAAAATTAGATGATTTATTTTTTACATTTTTCAATTATTTATAATTTAATTAGATTTCTTTTAAAAAATATATGATTTATTTTATTTATTATATGTTAAAAACGAGAGAGAGAGAGAGAGAGAGAGAGCGAGAGAGAGAGAAAATAGATCGGCAAAATAGGAGAGAAAACAAAAAACATATCGTCAACAAAAGAGAGAAGAAGAGATACATCGACTGAGAGAGAGAAGAGGAGATCGATCAAGAGAGAAGAAGACAAAGAGAAGACGAGATCGAACTTTTCACCCTTTTGAAGTCGGTGACAGGTTCTCTCCTCACTCTCTCTTTCATTTCTTCCAAACATAGTCGTATCCGTTTGCAAAGAGCACCTGTACCCATACTCGCACCCGTGTCCATGTCGTGTCATGTCAACACTGATACTTCCGAAATTCCAAAGAGTCCATGTAATGTAGAAATGAGTGCGAATAGTGTGTGCCACATAGTAAAGAACGATCGATGGGATGTATTTCTATTTTCTTGCTTAGAAGAGGATCAATGTGAAAGAAGAGCTAACTAGAAAACATGAATTAGGATTCTTGCTATAATCACCATTGCAATGGTAGTTTAAGTAAGTGATTTAAGCCCAAAACATAGTTAATGGTGGTTGAAGTGGATCGTTTAAGCCCCAAACACAATCATGTATTGCAAGGATATTATTGCAGAGAATCCTATTCCGGAAAACACAGGCAAGTGATTTCATTTCAATCCGACATAAGAAGAGGATTTGATCAAAGCAAAGGGGGGATTTCTCCATTCCAACAAAAACTAGAATGATCGATCCATAAACAGACCTGTATACATATGGAGATAGGTAACTGCATGGGCCACATCTATTGCAATATCTAGCCTTGCAGCAAGATCAAGAACACTGCCATGTATACCTGCATTAGCCCTTCAAACACATTTCAGCATATGCACATGCACAGAGAGAGAGAGAGAGAGAACAGAAACATAAATGTTAAGAGGTTGAAGAAACTCACAATCCAAGTGTTGTCTAAGGGTTCCATTGGGGACATACTCCACAACAACAATCCTTTCATCTTCATGCTCCAAAAACCCATAAAACTTGACCAAACTCAGATGTTCTATTTGTGCCAAAGCTCGAATCTCACTTTGAAATTCCACTCCCAAATGCTTATCACCTACACTCTGCAGAGAAAACAGAATAAACTTCTAGTTAAAATCCTGTTTCATTCATTACCCCCAACAATTTCAGGAAATGGAACTGATCGATTGATTAAGCTTGAACCTTTTTAGCACGCTTGATTGCAACAAGGGTACCATCTTCGAGCTGTCCCTTGTAGACTGTACCAAAACCACCTTGTCCTATTTTAAATGTTGGGGAAAAATTCCTCGTAGCCTTGTAGATTTCAGCAATGGTGAATTTGAAACTCCCAGGCTCTCTTGTGCGGATAGAACTGTTTGAATTGCCATAGATACTGCGATTTGAACCACGATTTGAACCACGCTTCGTCTGACTACCAGCACCCGATGCATCTGAAAAAACTGAGATTGAAGAACTCAAAACAATTTCTTATTATTCTCATTGAAATGTTTGATGTCGAGGCAATGAGGTAGTATGAACGGCACATACAGAGTTCCAAAATGCAGTAGTCATCAACTAAACATTTAAAGATAGTTAAAAGCTCATAAAAAACTTGAAATTCGAGAAGCGTTTAGGGCGTCAAAATAACTTGGAATTCGACAGCAAAACGGGAAAAATATTGGGAATAATTGAAAGAAACACACTATAGAATTGAGTGCAATAAATGAATCTACTTGCTTCATAAGAAAATATAGGAAAATACAAAAAGTCCAATTTGAGATTATAATTCCACTGTTTGGCACCCAAGAATACAACAACAGACCATCTTCTACTTCGAAAACAAATACTAACACAAAACATCAAATTCAACCTTTCATTTTTTTCCACAACTTCATTTTCTCCAGTCTTGTCGGCGTCCGACACAAATTCAACAAGTTTCGTTCATTTTCACAAGCCTTCTCGAACGACCAACACAAATTCAGCAAAGAACGAAAACTTGTTAACTTGGACGATGAGATCCAACCCGTACTATTAACCAAACGCCAATTCCACGCAAAAATCTGCACCCTCTATCAAACGTTCAAGCTTTTATGTGTGTTTGTATAAATAATATATTTAACATGAAATTCAACCTATCATTTCCACACAACTTTCATTTTTCTCGAATCTTCTCACAACCAAACTGACAACACAAATTCAGCGGAGAACGAAACTTAAGTTGGCCGATGTGATCCAACCTGTAATTATTAACCAAACACCAATTCCACACAAAAATCTACCCTCTCTATCAAGCATTCAAGCTTTTAAATAAATACATACATAAATACTAGCAGTGAGTGCACACACAATGTGCGTGCAAAGATTGTAGTTATAAAAGAAGAAGATGAATAAAAACCGTTCTATTTGTGAAGTTTTAAACTTCTCTGAATCAATTTGATTTTTCACATGATAATTTTCAAACTGATCAATCGTTATAGAAATAAAATATAGATTTTTTTTTTTTTTTTTTTTTTGAGTTTGAGAAAAGTGATTACCAGAAGGAGCTTTGAGCTCGTCAGAATAACGGAAGTTCTTCGAAGAATTGGTCTCCGGCGGAGTGAAGCACCCAACGAAAGCTCCGGCGACGGTCCTGGCGGCGATCGCGACAAGGTTTCTGCCGGAGCTTGAGTTATGGGAGGAGGACGAGGAGGAGTAGGCGGAGCACGGCGACTCAGCAAACCGGTCCGGCGTTTGGATTGCACTGGATCTGGAGCTCCGGCTACGGTATCCCGAGTTTCTACTTCTCATTTTTACACAGAGAGAGAGAGAGAGTGTGTGTGTGTGTGTGTGAGAGAGAGAGAGAGAGAGAGAGAATTGTGGAAATGGAAAGCTTGAGTTGAGAGGGAAATACGAAGTGGTTTCAGTGGTGCGATGTCTACCACTAGTCTGTGTCTTTGGAAATTTATTAGGGGGCAGGGGCTAACGTGCGCCGCGGGGGTTGAGGTTTATAACTAGGGGTGAGCATGGTCCGGATTGGATCGGATTAGGATAAAACCAGGACCAATCCGTTATCTACGGTTCCTAAAAAATTGGAACCAATCCAATCGGTTTAAATTATGGAACCAATCCGAACCAATCCATTTAAATACGGATTGGATCGGTTTAGGACCACGGATTCACATAATTAAATAACAAAAATATATTTATAACACTTTAATTTTATAAAAATATAAACATAGCACTATATTAGTTCCACAATAACAATATATTTTTCTATAATAGCGACATACTGTTCTAAAATTTAAATAACCATAAGAAAACTGGTTTCACTATAAGTATTTAAACCATTACAAATTAAAACTAAAAAACAACAAACAAAAATAATAAAAGAATATATTATACGGTTTTAGGTTTGAGTTTAGATTTTATATAGAATTAAGAGAAGATACTATGGGGGAGGATGTATAAGTCCGGCGTTTGGATTGCACTGGATCTGGAGCTCCGGCTACGGTATCCCGAGTTTCTACTTCTCATTTTTACACAGAGAGAGAGAGAGAGAGTGTGTGTGTGTGTGTGTGAGAGAGAGAGAGAGAGAGAGAGAGAATTGTGGAAATGGAAAGCTTGAGTTGAGAGGGAAATACGAAGTGGTTTCAGTGGTGCGAAGTCTACCACTAGTCTGTGTCTTTGGAAATTTATTAGGGGGCAGGGGCTAACGTGCGCCGCGGGGGTTGAGGTTTATAACTATCTACATTCAATTTGGGTGGAGGACCATCACTGATTTTACATTTACAACAAGTTTTATTATACAAATAAAATTTTGAATATTGCTATTCATATTAAAAAATTAAACTTATTTTTAAATTTAATGATATGTTAAGAAAATAATTGATTAATAAAGGACTATTATATCATTTTTCTAAAGTTTTAAATACAAAAAAAAAATTATACAAAATGATGCCAGTATTTTTTGTTATTATTTCACAACAAAATACTTATAATTCTGATTTAAAATTATAAAAATATCGATATTGCATAATTTTGTATGGATTATATAAATATTTTTTTGGTGAATCCATTTTGAGTAAACTATAAATATAACTCTTAAAATTTATTTAAAATACATATTGTGCGGGGAGCAAATATTCAGACGAGTCCGCACTCCTTTCTTCCAAGCTCCGCTTCTATCCGGTCACCTGCGAGCAAATAATGGTGAGCTACCCGGCAGTGTGTGGCCAGAAAAACCCTCCGACGATCAAGTTAGCGCACACCTCAGGATAGAGAGAGAGAGAGGAGTGTTTGAGTGTAAGAATTTCCTTACAAAGTGTTCCTGTATCGCGTATGGGGGGCGCAGACATGCTTATATACCCTTCTGCGCCCCAAATCTACTCGCATTGGTCTCTCGACACGTGGTTCTGTTATCCCATCTGTCAGTACAAATCTTGCTATACATCACCTAACCCAACTGCCAGCCCACTCTGCTGGGAGCACGGCAGCGGGGCAACATCATCTCGGCTATCAACGGCCATACTGAACATGCCCAAGTGCAATTGATGTCGTAGTTTCCTACTACCGGGCTTAATTCCAACCGTGCTCAACTGTATTCCGGCGAAGCTGAGCTGGAGATTGGTAACGCCGGTCAGCCAAAGACCTTCTCGGCCAAGCTCCAAGCACAAGCCTTCCTACTGGGTTAAGGTGCGTGCATTACAACCTTGCAACGCGTGATACTCCCATTGGTCTCTCGACACGTGGCTCTGTTATCCCATCTGTCAGCACAAATCTTGCTATACATCACCTAACCCAACTGCCAGCCCACTCTGCTGGGAGCACGGCAGCCGGGCAACATTATCTCGGCTATCAACGGCCATACTGAACATGCCCAAGTGCAGTTGATGTCGTAGTTTCCTACTACCGGGCTTAATTCCAGCCGTGCTCAACTGTATTCCGGCGAAGTTGAGCTGGAGATTGGTAACGCCGGTCAGCCAAAGACCTTCTCGGCCAAGCTCCAAGCACAAGCCTTCCTACCGGGTTAAGGTGCGTGCATTACAACCTTGCAACGCGTGAGCTGGGGAGCCTCATCTAGACTATTCCTCCACCTGTCCGACCTTCGCGGAACCGAGATCAGATAACTCGATTCCACGTGGGCTTTGCCATTACCGAGCAATATCACGGCCTGATCTTAGAGCCCAATACCTCGGCCCAAATCTGTCCGGCTAACGTCACGGCCCAATCCCAGATCATAAATCTCCCCCTCACATATTGTTTTTTGTGATTTTTGAAATCACATTATGCCCTTTCAAGTTTATAATCGCATAATAAATGTCTCATTTTATTAATAAATCATAAAGTTAATTAATAATTTTTAATAATGTCAGAAATATAATTCAATTAATAATTCAGATAGTTTTATTATTATATAAGAGAGCAATTAGAAAATTTTATTTTTTTTATTAAAAAATTTTGTTAAATAAAAACTTCTAACAAGGAAATATTTATAATTTCTCAAATCATAAAAACTAGTTCATATTTTAAATAAATTTCAAAAATTTATTTGTAATTTATCCATTTATTTTACTTTCAAGACGTGTCATACAAACTTTTTATTTTCCTTTTAGAATTTTTCTTTTATTTATAATTTATTCATTTATTTTACTTTCAAAACGTATCGTATAGACTTTTTATTTTCGTTTTAGAATTTTTCTTTTATTTGTAATTTATCCATTTATTTTACCTTCAAGACGTCATATAGACTTTTTATTTTTCTTTTAGAATTTTCCTTTTAGCTGGCAAATACTCATCATAGACTTTTCATTTTCCTTTTAGAATTTTCCTTTTATTTGTAATTTATCTATTTATTTTACTTTCAAGACGTAATATAGACTTTTTATTTTTCTTTTAAAATTTTCCTTTTAGCTGGCAAACACTCATCATAGACTTTTTTAAGAATTTTTCTTTTATTCGCAATTTATCCATTTAGACTTTGTTTTACTTTTAGAATTTTCCTTTTAGCTGGAAAATACTGATCGTGAGTGGCAGAGTAATATTTATAATTTTCTAAATTATAAAATTAATTTATATTTTAAATAGATTTCAAATTTTTATTTATAATTTATCCATTTATTTTATTTTCAAGACATATCATATAAACTTTTTATTTTCCTTTAAGAAATTTACTTTTATTTATAATTTATCCATTTATTTTATTTTCAAGACGTGTTATAAACTTTTATTTTATTTTTGGAATTTTCCTTTTAGCTGACAAATACTCATCCTGAGCTGGTCGATGACTGACTTGTGCTATGATTGTCACTAATTTGGTTCGGGGATGGGAGCAACTTGCCTCCCGTCCTTAATCAAATTGGACGGTATTATTTGGTTTATAAGAACTTATTACAAATTTCGTTTTAATAATTCAAACCATTTAATATATAGAACTCGTTGAATATTATATGTCTCTGAAAAATCACGTTGATCAGATATCAATAGCTATGTAATCAAATCAATTTTGTATAAAAAAAAAGGATGAACAAATTAACGATTAACAAAAAACTGATAAGATCACATAGTTATCGATATCCAATCAACGTGATTTTTCACAAGCACATAGTACTCGACGAGTTCTACACATTAACGGTTCGGATTGTCAAAACGAAACCTGTGGTAGGCCTCCATGGGCCGAACAATACCGTCCAATCTGATTAAGGACCGGAGACAAGCTGATCTCCTTGTGGAAAATGTAGTTTTAAAAAATTAAAATTAAAATTTTAATCTGATAGTATATTTTTGAAAGTCTTGTTAATGAACATTGATTAACCAAACTTACATCTATTTTTATAAATAGTGTATAATTATTTAGAACTCGTTAATAAAAATATCTTAAGAAAATTTTCACTAATATTGATTAATAGAGTATTAAATAGTTGCATAGTTTTTAATTACTCATTTCACAAGGCATCATACTTTTAAATCAATGAGAACAGTAACCATGAAATATAGCACAATTTTTTTTTTATATATATATTTTTTACTGAATAATTTTTCAAATTGCAAACCCACTTAAATATTGTCAGTGCATTCAATTTCATGTCTACAATACAACCACAATAAATTATTCCAAGAGGGAAGGGAGTCCTACTAAGAAACAATGTACGGCCACAAGTAGCACACACTTGTCATGGTCGACCACTTTTTTTTTTTTGTTTTGTTTTTGGGTGGATACATGGTCAACCACTGCCTAATACAAGTCTTCCAAATAAACCCAAGAACAAATACATACATTATATTTGCAGGGCAATTAATACAAGACAAAAATATGTAATTATACAGTAGTTTTAAAATATTATTTGATATTATTTATGTGGTATTTTAAATCAATTACATAGTAAAAAATTTTATAAGTGAGAGATGCTAACTTATCTTTAATATATAATTGGGAGATAACTGATTGTGATTTTTTATTTGTCGGGTGTATTATATAGGGGTGCTTTGGCAACCAAATAAAAGGTCAGTTTTTAACTTTTTACTCATTTTGTGTCACATCACCTCACATTTTTTATCTATAAAAAGACAAAATAGACTAAAAAAGTCAAAAAATCAATTTTTTACCAACTTTCCAAAACACCCCATAGACAATATCACATTATTACTATGTAATAATTTTATGGCAAAAACATTGCTTTTGCCCTAATTAAGGTTCAACTAACTGAAAAAAAAAACCCACCATCAATTAGGGCCAGCAAAATTATTATGCTTTAATATACAGTAATTAACCACCAAAAGTAGATCAATTGTCTCCATTTACTCTGTCAAAATCACAGTTGGTTGAGTAGCAATACTTACAAAGCACTTGAAAACATGAAAACTGTGAAATGTTGGTTGGCAATAGATCCTTATGTTTGGTCCCTAATTTGTCTCCAAAAATTATTTGTAGTTACAAAAATAATCTTTTTCTTCATGGTCTAGGCTATTTTAGTAAGAAAGCGCTCTTAATTCAATTCAGTAGAATGTGAGTCTCCAAAGCTCGATGTCATAGCTTCAAATCTTATAGAGCGTGATACCCTTCTTTGTAGATCGAATTTGACTGAAAAAGCAGCATTTAACTTGAACAACAATCTGAATTTGACCTCTTGTGGATTAAAGAGGTCAATAAAAAAAGAGAAGGTAATCGAAGGTCCAACTGATCACCACATTTTTTTCCCAGAGTAAGATGCTCACATTATTCCTAATAAATGAGGCCATCGAAAAGGAGATGTATGGGATCAACTTTGTCTTACCTAACTGACCAAGCTAAGTCAGATCGACATGACTAATACTGTGACTACCATTTTTATTAGTTCAAGAAGACCATGTGGTGTTGAGATGATACTCTAGAACGATTGAATATTTACGTAGTTGTCTCTACCTAAGCCAAACCCCTGGCTTTTCGGCAAAAAAATGAATTCGCCTAACTATCAAGAAAGTGATTAAGAAAATATCAGATTGAAGCAAAAAGGAAAAAGTAGTTGCAAATCTGTGAAGTGCAAGCAAGAATCATGTGTGCAAGTGAGAACTGCACTATCTTATTTGTACTCCATTGATCTGAAATTACCCTTTGATATTTCTCATTCAAGTGAAATTCCTACAAATAGTTTTGTAATTGTGATTGACGTTACAGTCCTAGCTACATCAGCATCGAGCATTACCTGAATTAACAGTCACCGACTTCAAAGAAATGTAGCAATGGGTCAAATCACCAATGTTATTGTTCATGAATCAAATGATTGTTAGATCATATCCATTAGCATACTTGACAAGTAGTACCATGCTTACCTGCAAGTTGAAATGGGAAGTCACAAACACACAATGAAATGTCATTGAATCCATAACATGACTAGACATTCATAGACTTAAATGCAGGGCTGCAATAAATTTTCATATCCACCTCGAGTCAGTGTCAGCATCAATAAAATGGTGTTTGATGTTGTTTACTGCAATTTCAACGTGTTGTTTACAGCTTATGCATTTCCTAAGTTGGGAGATGAGTGGTTTTAGAGTTTTGCTTATAGATTTTGGATTTTTAGCTTATAATAAGTTGGGAGATGAACATTTTTCTCACAATTTTAAAGAAAATAGGGCATAAAATAGAGAATTTTAGAACGTGCACAAACCTCATATGAAAGGCAAGGACCAAGAAACAGAGACACCTTTTAATAGTGTGTCCATATTAGACACTATTAAAAGTTTTATGTTGGTCCTTGCCTTTCAATAAAGTTCTATGTTGTTGATCAAAAAAAAAAAATGATATCAGACACCAACACTCATCCAATATTTTGACATGTGTCCGACAAATGTTCAAACGTGTCTTATTATTATTCTTTTTTAAATTTAGACCCGAACAGACTTTAGACACTTTAGGGGGACATGTCTCCATTGGTTAGACACATGGGGGGGAAGAAAAAAAAAGATCCTTATTTTTTTTTTTATATTTAAATTACCAGGCCGGAGCATCCGTATCGCGTCGCCAATCCATGTCCATGCTGCTTAGGGCAAGGGCTTTCAAGTTCTAACCTCAGAATTAGAAGCCAAAACCAATTTCCACCAAACAATCACCACTCAGTGTCCTTATCAAAATAAAGCACCATGTCATCTGGAGAAATCAAACACACATTTATCCTCAATACATTCAAATCTAGTCCACACAAGACAAACAGTCTTCTTCATCCTCCATTAATCTCACCAGAACATCCAATAATGTATAAACCTCCAAAGCTCGCTTGTGGGATTTATCACTTGACACAAATGTATGAAGCTCACCAGCAATCTCTATCCAGCTACAACCTGGAACTTTATGACTACACCTATCCCTCATCATTCTGCGAACTCTTGCAACATCAAGCCAACAACCAACAGAAGCATACATGTTAGACAAGAGGGTATAATTCACAGTATTGCCCGGCTCTAATACAAAAAGCTTTTTTGCTGCCCAGATTGCCAATCCTGAATTGCCACGGACCTTACACGCACCAATAAAGGCTCCTAGCGTGTCTGATCCGGGCTCAATAGGCATCGAGTTCAAAACATTGAAAGCCTCATCTAGAAAACTGGCACGCCCAAGAAGGTCAATCAGACAAGTATAGTGCTCTGAATGTGGCTCAATGTGATAGTCATTAGTCATTAAATTGAAGTAATGAAGCCCCTCGTCTACTAGCCCCCCGTGGCTGCAGGCAGAGAGAACACCAAGAAATGAAACTTGATCTGGCCTCCCGCTACTATGCAATAGCATCGTTTCAAAGAGTTCAATCGCTTCCTTTGGATTTCCATGGAATGCATAGGCTCGAATCATTGATGTCCATGAAACAAGATCAGGCTTTGCAATAAAGCTGAAGATTTTGAGTGCCATATCAATGCTACCACACTTGGAATATGCATTAATTAGGGAATTTGCAATTGACAAAAAAGCTTGAAACCCATTTTTTACTGTGTAGGCATGAACTTGCATGATTTCAGACGAGGAGGATAAATTGCCACATGAACTGAGAACACTAGCCAACGATAGTTCATCAGGACAAAAATCTTCTCGGAACATCTTCACAAGAAGTTTCATAGCCTCCTTCCCATCACCATGTCGGCCATAACCTACAATCATCGTGTTCCATGAGATAATATTTCTGAAGACCATCCCATCAAAGGCTTTGCTAGCATCCACTACATTTTCAGTCTTCGCATACATATCAACTAGTGCACTAGCCACTACAACGTCTATATCAAAGGACAATCTAATAACAAGGCTATGAAGCTGCCTACCCAACTCAAAAAATTCCAAATTGGTTGAGGAATTTAGGAGATTGCTAAGTGTGAAATCATCGCCCTTTACACCCTCCAACCGCATCAAACTAAAGACCAAAAAAGCTTCTTTTGCCAAACAATTCAAAGCATAGCAAGACACCATCCCATTCCACAAAACCAAATCTTTCTCCAAACAACAATCAAAAGCACACCTGGCATCTCCAACTAAACCGAATTTCGAATAGAAATCAACAAGAGCACTATTTACAAAACAATGTATATACAATCCCAGTTTCATTAGAAGACAATGCAACTGTCTGCCAATCTCAACATCATTCAGCTCAACGCACATACGAAGCAAACTCGCGAACGTAATGCAATCGGGAACCACCATTTGTGACAACATTCTCTTGAAATAGCGAAAACCCAGATTATGAATCGATCTAAAACCACCACCACAGTCAGATACACCACTCAATAACGTGTTCCAAGTTACAAGATTTCTCACGAGCATTTCATCGAACAACTTGCAAGCATCATAGAATTCCTTGCATTTAACATAAACATTCAAGAGTTGGTTTTGCAATGACAATACATTATGGTATCCTAACTTAAATAGATGCGCATGTAATTTTCGTCCTTGAGGAAGAGAACCCATTTTTGCAGAGCTCTTCAACGCATTGGAAAAGGAGGAATGGGTTAAGAGTGAGTCCATGAAATGGGTCGATTTAGAAACCGCCATTGAAGCTCTGAATCGACGCAGATGGAGAGGTTCGTTGATTTTGTGATGGGGGTCATGGTTTGGGCCGTTGTGGTTGGTTTGGATAACGGTCATAGAAGTTGATAACAGGCGTATGAAATGGACGGTGGGTATTGAAAGAGAGCGGCATTTGTTGTGGATCATCCAATTGATGGAATGAAGAAGAGATAGATTAATCAGAGCATATGGGGGTGTTTGGTGGGGTTTTTTTTAGCCAACTTATGACTTTTGACTTTTAAAAAGTTATTTTAGACTGTTTGGTTAAACTTATTTCAAACAGCTTCTGATTCTAACAGCTTATTTTAAGTCAAAAAAGCTGATTCTGAGAAGTTGCTCACCCCTTGCTTCTGATTATCAGCTTCTGCTGTGGACATGTTAATTCACTGTTATACTCTTAGATTTTTTTATTTTTTATTTTTTTAAAAATAGAAAAAGACCCAAGTACACTATAAAATATTATTATTATTTTTTATGAAAAATGTAGACAAATAGTAAATAATAAAAAATAAAAATTAATTGAAAAAGCTACTTCACAGCTTATTTAACAAACACTACTCAGCAACTTAAATCTATAATCCAACAGCTATACCAAACAGATTAACAGCTTCTGATTAAAGTCATAATCTATAATCTGTTAAACTATAATCTATAATCTGTTTTAACAGCTACACCAAACAGCACCATGGCTTTGCTTGACAAACAACCTGGAGATGGTGAACTAATGGGCCTGAATCTTCTAATTAAAGGAACAAGCCTGATAAGGCCCAGTTTACATGTGTTATTTTTTGTTTTATTTTATCGGGAAATTTAGTGAAAACTCCCGCAGGAGGCCAACATCTTAGTGGGAAAAGGACAATTTAAGGCCTAATTTGAGAAGATTAAATAAGTGTATTTTTTGACTTTTTATGAAATATAGATTGGGTTTGAGTTGGGTTTGAAGTGATGTGTTAGAGAAGTAATGTAACTTAAATAAGATGATGTGACTTAAATAGGATAGTGACTTTTTAACTTTTTGTCTTTTTTTAATCATGCTAAACTTGGCCTTAATCTCTTGAACAACAAGCATGTTCTTCATGAATGACAGATTTATAATTTTTTTCTTTTTCCTAAATAATCATATCCTGAATATATGTATTAGAGTTTTGAATTAAATTTATTAGCGATTAATTTTGAAATTTTGTTTAATAACCATTGTTGGTCATCATTCAATGATTAAATCTGAACCACATGGAATAAATTTATCTTCGAAAATAGAATACTATTCCACACTAGTTGATCATCGCTGAAAGCATCAAAGTGAAGGCTATTCTTTGGACCAAATTCAAAGTCTACTATTGGTTTATGATATTCTTTACCATTTGTAGTAGATTGGGGATATCTAGCATCTTCCTAGAGAATATTTTTTATGATTTGTTAGTTGAATCTATTTATCTTGATTTGCTCTTCTTCTTTTTTTCCCTCATCTAGTTGGTGATTTGAAATTGTTGTTTGTTAATTATTGTTGATTTGTTTGTAAACATGTAATGAAACAACTAATAAAGTTTTCTTTAGTTCATACTCTATTTTTTTTGTTATTGACACCCAATCCAAAAAGATAGTAAAGTATTACTTTGCTAGTCAGTAACATTTTACTATTAAATAAAGTAAAATGTTACCTTTACTTCAATTTTGATGTTATTTATTTTATTTTATTTTAAATAATTTTGTAGTCAACGTAGACATTATTTGTTAAATCTTGATGAAAGGATTCTAAAAATTCTAATTTTATTAAAAATTGATATCTAGATAAAAAGTTATATCATTTTAAAGTTTAAAAATATTTTGATAATAATGAAGTATGTTGGACTTTTCAAGATTTTTTTTTATACTTGTCCTTAATCCATTAAAATTTATTATGAGGAAATTTTGATCAAATTCATTTTTTTTGCTAACTAGAAAAAATAAAATATGCTTGTCTTAAGTTAAAAAAATAATTTAAAAAATTAACTGTGTTAACAAATAACAAATAGATTAGTTTTGTATGAGATGTTCTAGATTTAATTTTCTTTTTTTTTTTTAAAAAAAAAACAACTATAAAAATAATTGTCAAACTTAATTTTTTTTTGTTTCTTTCTTTCTTTCTTGAGTGGTTTATAAAAAAAATGAAATTTTCACAAACACTCGACATTTGAAAGTTGTCATTTGATAACCCAAATATATGGATATTTCTTGACATTTCAAATTCATCATGGACACCCTTGCCATTTGAAAGTTGTATATATAATTTCATTAGAAATATTCAAGATAAATTATTTTGATTTCTTTTGAAATTTAAAGAAAACACAATAAGTCCTATAAGTTTAATATAATTACATTATTAATATTTTAATGTATATAACATTTGGTTTTATTTCATTAGAAATTTGTTAGTTATATGAATAAAAAAAATGATATTGTAATATATTTTACATTGAAATGTATATCTTATCTTATATATCTTTGTATTTTCATATCATCCATATTAACCTTACTAAATTTTTTTTTGTATAATTATGTAAGATTATAAAATTTATTATATTTTTTTTAAATATCGAGAAAGACCGATATAATTTATCTTAATTAACTTCAATAACATTTGAACATTGATTGAGGTACAAACAATATAACTTCCAAATATTAATGGGTGTTTACAATATATTGAAAATGCTAGACGAACCTATACTAACCTCCTTATTGAAATAAGTGGTGCTACATACACCAATTAATATACTAACTAGTATATTAACACTAGTTATGATCTTATTATTGATCTCACTCATTATATAAATTACAAATACAAAAGATATCTTAAATTATGTCATATCAATACTAGTTATGACCTTATTATTGACACCATTCATTATACAAATTACAAATACTAAAAATATCTTAAATTATGTCACATCGTTAATTGTTACACTAGTTAGCCTCCGTTTGGGAAGTGGGTTGGCTTTTTGGATTTTTTGAGTTTTTTTGTAAGAGAAGAATGTAATGATTATGGCGCTGTTTGGGAAGCACAAAATAAGGCTATTATAGCCTATTTTGACAAATTAGCCTCAAAGCAACACTATTGCAACCTTTTTCAAAAAAAAAAAAAAAAAAAAAAAATAATTCTGCACAGCCTGTCAGCTACAACCCTTGTCCCATCAATAAATAAATTACCATTTTACCCCTTGATATCAATTTAAAAAAATATATTTTTAGGGATAAATTTGTCATTTTAAATATGAATAAAAAAAATAATATTGTAATATATTTTACATTGAAATATATATCTTATCTTATATATCTTTGTATTTTCGTATCATCTATATTAACCTTACTAGAAAAATTTTTGTATAATTATGTAAGATTATAAAATTTATTATATTTTTTTTAAATATCGAGAAAGACCGATATAATTTATCTTAATATTAACTTCAATAACATTTGAACATTGATTGAGGTACAAACAATATAACTTCCAAATATTAATGGGTGTTTACAATTTATTGAAAATGCTAGACGTAACCTCCTTATTGAAATGAGTGGTGCTACATACACCAATTAATATATTAACTAGTATATTAACACTAATTATGATCTTATTATTGATCTCACTCATTATATAAATTACAAATATAAAAGATATCTTAAATTATGTCATACCAACACTAGTTATGACCTTATTATTGACTCTATTTATTATACAAATTACAAATACTAAAAATATCTTAAATTATGTCACATCGTCAATTGTTACACTAATTAATACATATAATATTACTCTATTAAAATTAAAGGAGTGAGGATTGGGTTTCTCGATATCCCTCTTCAGATTGATTTGTAAGATTGGGTCATAAATGGGTTCAGGCGTTGGGTTCCCGATCAACAAAAATAAATAAATAAATAATAATAATAAACAAATGCTAGTGGTGTAAGTTGTCTTAATTTAGTGTAGTTGGTTATCTAATTGATTACGTGGTAGTAAGATCAAGAAGGTGTCGTGGTGTAGTTGGTTATCACGTCAGTCTAACACACTGAAGGTCTCCGGTTCGAACCCGGGCGACGCCATTTTCGTAGTTCCGCTTTTTAATAGCTTATCTTGCTTGACTGATAAGCTCTCAAAATTTTATTCTTTATTTTTTTCTAAAATATAAAATAAAATATCTATAAAGCAACTGAATTTTCAATAAAGATCCAAAAAGAAGAGTCCCAAAAGCAGACACGAAAGTACCCCAAAACCCTTTCCTCTTCTTCTCACACAGCCTCGCACAATATCATTACACAGCAGCCACCCACTATGAAGAAGAATCTATAGGTAAATCTTGCTGATATATATACATATATGTATATGGGTTTGTATGTATACATGTATGTGTGGTAATTCCTGTGAAATGATTGATGTTCTTGTTGCTTAGGTGTTTGTGGACTGTATTTTGAACTGGGTTTGTTGTCTTCAATTGATATAGTCCTCTTGTTCTTTCTTTTCAGACTTGAAATGTTTGATGTTCTTGTTGCTTAGGTCTGGACTCTGTTTTCATTTGGGTTTATTAGACTTGAATTACTTGTTCATTTGTTTCTGTAAAGTAGTATGAATCCCTCAGTCAACTGATATTATGGCCTATATCTCATGTAAAAATCTAATTGTTGATATATATGTATGTGTGTGTGTGTGAGAGAGAGAGCGCGCATGTGTTGTAATTCCTGCTCTGTGAAATGATTGATGTTTGTGTTGCTTATGTCTGTGTGGACTGTGTTTTGAATTGGGTTTGTTGTCTTCAATTGATATACTCCTGTTGTTCTCCTTTTTCAGACTTGAAGTGTTTGATGTTCTTGTTGCTTGGGTCTGTTTGGACTGTGTTTTCAATTGGGTTTGTTCTCTTTAGACTTGAATTGCTTATTTGTGTGCTTCTGTAAAGTAGTATAAATCTCCTTAGTCAGCTGATAATTGTAGCCTATAGCTCATGTAATTAGATTCGTATTTCTGGTCCAATTATTGATACATATATGATATATGTATATGTGTGTGTGGGGGGGGGGGCGTAATTCCTGCCATGTTAAATGATTGATATTCTTGTTGCTTAGGTTTGTGTGGATTGTGTTTTCAATTGGGTCTGTGTCTTCAATTGATATACTCCTCTTGTTCTTCTTTTCAGATTTGAAATGATTGGTGTTCTTGTTGCTTAGGTCTGTGTGGACTGTGTTTTCATTTGGGTTTGTTGTCATGAATTGATATACATACTCCCCTTCTCCTCTTTGGCTTGAATTAAAGGGGTATAATGTCTTTCTATACTGTTCTAATTGTTCAATTGCATAAGTGATGTAGGACAAGACTTTAGAAATTTTTATTTTTTAGTTTTAGTACTTTTAATATATTATTTGATTAGGATTCTTATAATTTTTATAAATATTCTAGAATTATTAGGTTTAGTTTATTATAATTAAGCCTAGAAGCATGCGTAATTCATTCATTCAATTAATAATATTGAAAACATAAAAACTATAGAATCTTGTTCTACATCCTAAACGATGTTTAGAATTTTAACCATACAAGCATGTTTAGAATTCTTGTAGAGTTCACTTGTAAGTGATGTTGTAGTGGATACATCTTGGCCACTTTCATTCTCTGATTCATGGTCGTTTGACAATGTATCAAGTCATGACTTATGATCTATTCAAACTTGTTTCAAATTCTAATTTTTATGCAAGTTTATATGGTAAAAAGTACTTTGATAAACCAAAGGATAATTATGTCATAAATAAGGAAGGCACAAAATCCACTAAAAAGTATTTTAGTTCTTATAGTGCAATGAGCTCACCCAGGGTGTATATTTAGTTGGCTGTTCCATCAATTATGGAATCTATCTGATGCATGAATGGCATCACTTACTTAGGTGATAATGCCAAGGACTGTCATTGGACATTGTAAACGGAAAGCATCATGAACTTATTTTTTAAAATCTAGTTTATACTGATGATTATGTAACTCTTTCATATGAAAAAGGTAGCTTGGGTGCTTCGAATCAAATATGCTGGCTCACATGCCAGTGATAATAAATTTAGGTAAGAGAAATGCATAAGATTGTTATTTGTTATGCTTTAGAAGTTAGAGCCAAAAGATGAAAGGTGATACTGTCACCTGATCTAGGTTTTGCCTGCTTGGCAGAAAGTAAAACATTGATGATGTTTCATTGTTGTAGTAATTTGTTATCAAAACATGTGCAACAACTACTTGTAGTTGCTTACTACTACTTTTTCTTAGGGTTGATCCCATGTAAATTTTATGTTGGTTTTTACTGATTTATTGAATGCTGTAAGCTAATTTCTATATTCATGCTTCTTAAAGCATGCATTACAGTTTTTGTTTCAGCATCCATTAACTTCGTTGGCTGTTTAAATCGGTAACATATGGTTCATATTGTCTTTCTAGAATGTGACTCTCCTACCATGCCAAAGAACAGGATGCGACGTCTGATGCACTAAAGGATTTGAGTGGATGACATAAAATATTGCAAGAATGGGGGGTTGCTGTTGTTCTTCCAGAAAACCTCAGTTGCATGGAACACCAGTATATTACTATGTCAGTAATTTCTTCCATCACCCTTTACATGCTGGCATACTGCCAATCATTTTTATCATCTACTCTTCTTTTCAAAATATGGCTTGGTGTAGCATTTTTGCAAACATTTTATTTGAGATTGATGGCCTCTTGGGTCATGCTTGCTTAAATAGGATGCCACCATTTAGTGCGATCTCTCTATGTCTTGTTTATTCAAGGACTCAAGTACCGATGTTTGGGTGTGGGTGCATTTCCAATCTCAAATTTAGGGTACACAAACTCTGCAAAAAAGGGTCATATTTTTTTATATTTTTATTCTGTTGTGAAATAAAATGGTGTTATTTGTAACATACAATATCAAAAGAAAATTTCACTCATTTTATAGCAATTATACAACAATACATACTTACATGTAATGTTAGTGGCAGTGCGTGGGCTAAGCGGACCCTACCATCTCCAGTCAAGCCATTTTCTAGATGTCTTTTTTATGTGAGATTTGTCTGTATAAAAATAATTTGAGCAAGCCATCTTCTAGATGTATTTTTGGTTTCGCCAATATAACCACTGGATTTCCTTATCACTCTGTCAGGCTACAAGTCAAGTATTTGGTAATAGATGCATTTGTAATGGACATTTGGATTTTTGAGAAATAGTAATTTATTTTTGGATTTACATAACTAAAATTTTGTTTATTGATCATCTCAGTTGTCAAATTCCTTGATAATTACCCCTAATAAAAGCTCTTTTATCACCAGTGGATTTGTGAAATATATGAAGTGTCAAATTCGTTGTTCCTTTTACTAGTGTTGCTAAAAATCCATGGTTTGTGACTTTTCAGTCCTACTCCTGTTTGAGTGGAAGTGTTCAGTGGGACTCGTGAGTATCACAAAAGGTTTGTGATCATAGGTGGTAGTATGTTATTGTCTCATTATTCTTTCATTTTGTCACTTTGCAAGTCCAGTTTTTTTATTTATTATCTTCGAAACCAACAAGTTCACAGCCATTTTACCAATTAGCTGCCAACCATTTAATAATGGGCACAGGCACAAGCTCGGCACGCCTTATGAATTCTTCTCCATCAACTGTGCTTCTCCTCCTTACGTCTTTCAGTATGTCATAAACCTCACCAAGCTCTTTCTTTCTTCCTTCCTCTTCGTTGAAGCAGACTTTCATTGTTTGTAGTATCATTGTTTTGGCATCATTGTCAAATCACGCGACATTAAAGTTTGGAAAGTTTGTTTGAGTGGAAGTCTGTCAACTGGTTGATTTTAATGTAGAAAGGGGTATTGTTATTGCAATTTGCATGGGGTTTTCTTTTGTATCCACTTATCGGTTCTGAACTTTCTTGCTCCTTTTTGCAGTGTCCTCCAGTTTTCGATGATCATGAGTCCTTCACGTCCCATGACAGTGCAGCCACAGTATTCACTTCAGGATTCTTGGTTGATTTGAATTTGGATATGTCAACCCCTGACACTTACCGACCACCTCCTGCACCTATTCCATACGACGTGGTTTTCGGATGTCCACAATCAACAGATTCAGAGTCCCTTGGAGAAACCATTAGTGACAGTGGCTTTGCAAATTTTTCAACATGCGTGGATCTTAAGGAGTCGGATTGTAAAACTGACACTAGCAAATTTCTTGACTCCCCGAAGAAGTTTGAATTTGAACTTGTAAAATCAAGTGATCTTAATGTATCAGCAACAGAAGAAGAGGATGTTTGTCCCACTTGTCTTGAAGGTGCACTACTGGCAGAGTTTTAGTAGACAATTTATTTATTTATTTTATATATAACTAACTGTTTCATTTTGCATCTTCATCTGCAGAATATGATGCAGAGAATCCAAAGATTATCACCAAATGTAATCATGATTTTCACCTTTCATGCATTCTTGAGTGGATGGAAAGAAGTGACACCTGTCCCATATGCAACCAGGTTTGCCTTGTGCTGTATTCCATTATTGCAATGATTGGATGTGAATTCCTTGCTTTTATTGTGGTGATATTAATCATAGGCAGTGGATACAGGTACAGCCACAGGAAAGTGATTTTCAAAAAATTAAAATATGGACAAGCGGGAATACAGGAAAAAAAAAAAAAAAAATTATTATTTGCTTTGTATATGAATATAAATTTGTGGCACATCAATTGGAGAGGCATCAATATATATGAGTGTATTTTTTTTTTTTTACTCACTTCCCCCCTTTTTGTTTTCATATATTTTACCCCAAATCAACTTTCAAAAATTATAAAGAAAAACCTACAAAAGTGTCTTGAGTTGTGTCTAGACACACGACACGCATGTCCATGAAGTGTTCTTAACGTGTCCTACAAAAAAATTAAAAATTGAAATGTCATGTGGTGCGTCTGACATGTGGATATGCATGTCTACACCATATTGGTATCCAATATGTATCGGACACGGCATCCATTTTAGAGTGTCCGTGTTTCCTATATCTTAGTACCTGGACCTGATCATTTAAAGAGTTGATGGGGGCTAACTGTTTAGGGACCAAAACACATTAATAGATCTTGTCTCCGCCATTTTAAACATTTATTACACCAACTGAAATATTCTGCTGCTCTATATTACAGGAAATGATATTTGAAGCTATCTAAGACTTTCAATTCGGAGCCTATTGGCTATTCGGCATACAAGCTTGCCAGCTCGCCAACTCAGAGAAGGCAAACACGGGGATGTATGTAAATGGTTATGGCCAATGATCTTAAAATTCATCTTTCTTTTTTCTTTCTTTTTTTAATTTTAGTTTGGCTGTGTATATTAAGGTCATTTCTTTCTGTGATTCAATCCCTCTGCTGTTTGAACTTTGAACCTTGAGCGAGAAATTATTCAGTGCAATGTGTGGAATCTACGTCCCACCATCCCCCGAATAATTATCCAATGGATGGTAGCAATGCCACACACGGTGACACAGCACTGAATGTCACCACTGAATAATTTTTGGTTCTGAGATGGATTGAAATGTCAGAGATTGAAGAATCTCCCAACTTGTTTTAAGGGAGCTAAATGCACTCCACATGAAGAAATGATGGCTAGCTCTACCCTCTATGTTGTGATTTATACTTTCATTTCCTCTTGTACAGATTCTCATTTTCTCTTCAATCTACATGTATGTTGCATGGGTTTGTTTGTTTGCGCTTTTTGCATAGAATTGCATATTTGTTTGTGTTGGCATCCCATAGTAGTTGCCGATGATGTTTAGAATAGTCTTATAAGATGGCACAGGACATTTATTGTGGAGGTGCTTTTTGGCTTAGAGCCCAAAGGGACAATTGTGAGGCTAACTGTTTGGGTTGGATCATAGTGGACAATACTTTCAGCGAGGTTAAATCGCATGTCTAAGATGGTATCAAAGTTAGGGTTAGGTTGGCTAGATTAGATCTACTGCCTTGGTTAGGGTCAGAAGAGCCTAGTTTAATTGTGTTTTCATTTTTTATGTTTTTTGAGCCAAAATAAAAGAAAGTTGAAAACCCATTGTTTTCATGTTCTTTTCATCTTTAAGCAAAAATAGTTCAAAAAAATTGGAATGTTTCCTAAAAGTGAGTTATTTTAAAAAATAATTACTTAAATAAATGTTACTTCTCTCCTCTCCTTGCGTACTAAACAAAATTTCATTATACTAAACATGTCTATTTATTTATTTTTCTAAAAAATATTAGGCTTCTAATTCTGTAAATTAAATACAAAAAGAATGACATTACATACATTGAATATTAGGGAGGCTTATTCTAATAGGTGGATTTATTGTCTAATAGGTCCGGTGAGAATTAATGACATTTTTTATCAAACATTATTAAATCATTAATTATTAATTTTCAGTGATAATTTGAAAATTGTTACAAAAAACGTCACTAATTATAAGTTTTAGCGATAGTTTTAAAAAATTGTCACAAAAAAATGTTATTAATTTTTAATTTTCAACGATAGTTTGAAAAATTTATTACAAAAAAATGTCACTAATTGTAAGTTATAAAAACAATTTATAAAAATCGTAACAAAACAAAGTCATTAATTGTTAATTTTTCGTGACATGTAAAAAATCATCACAAAAAATTATTTTTAACGATAATTTTATTAGGATTTATTTTTAATAGGATTTAATGTGAATTAAATTTAACTATTAGGACCTATTAGTAGTTTATCTTTAAATTATATTACCTTTTAACTTTAGATTTAGACTTTTGTAATATAGATATTAATTCTTCATAACAAACTATAGTACAAAAGTTTGTTGGAAGGTTCTCGTGACCACTGAATGCAAATTCTAATCTTTCCTCTCCTAAAAACCTTATCCTGTCCATTTCTTGTAATCAATCCTACAATCTCAAAAAAAATTTACTCTTTTTTTTTTAATTTATTTTTTCTTACCATTTTTGTGTGCGTTACATCTACATCATTAGTGCTATTGATGGGGTATAGAGCAACACCAAAAAAGTCAAAAAGAAGTTGGTGGTTGCCTACTACTTTATGATTTGGTTCTGCCGAATTTTGGCAGCAAGTAGGCCAAGAAAGAGGAGCAGGTAACCAGAAATTATTGGAATCAACAAAATTTACAAAATTTCCAGACTATGGTGCAGTTTATTGGTCTCTTTTTATAGGGTTTTTTTTTTTTTTTTTTTTGTGTGATAATTGTGAAAAGTTCGCACCTATTATTTGGTTTAATGTTTAATCTCTTTTGGTGATAAGAACATGTTTAGTGAGAAAGAAATTTTACTGTTTTGAAAGATTTTTTTTCCGCCTAATTTTACTCATTGCTGTTAAACCACAACCGGCTAGTTGTTGGAAAGTTCACTGGAAAAGTCATCGGGAGTGGTCGGCTGTAGTAGTAGTGGTGGTGGTGATATAGACAAATAGGTAGATTAGATAAACAATTAGGTGATATATGGACAAATAGGGGATCACAAGTGTATAGATAGGTGGACAAATAGATGAGACTTGGACAAATGATTTATGTGGATAAATTAACAAATTGGTAAAAGTGATATGATTTTTCAAATTATTATCTTCTTTTATCGACCCGGAAGAATAAAGTTTGGGACTATTATTCTAAAAAAATTGAAAGATATGACCCAAGTACCTTTCCTTCTTTGGGAAAACTATGTGTAATAATTTAATTAATTTGAAAAAACAGAAGTCGATTATTTTTTACTGAACAGATCTTTTATTTTGGCTGATGAAAAATTCCTCCAAATAATTATTTGTAAGGTGATCTTTAATCTTTCATCAGATCTTAATGCATTAAAATCAAGCTCCAACCGTTTGATCAAATCGATTTTAAATAAAGGGAGAGTTTAATTTTTTATCAAATCAAGGGAGCTTTATCTGTTGGGCCGGACATCCTTATATCTAGATTTCCTCCCAGACAACCAGTCTTTCTTTATCTGAATATCAATTTTCACCTATGGCCGGATGTCCTTTCGAACAACAAGACTTATAAAAAAAACTTAATGAAAATTTTAAAATTATCATTGGAGCATATGATATCAGATCAAATTATTCATCAAATTTTTATTTAAATTTGATGCAAAGTTTGATAAAGTGTTGGTGTTGTTTAATATGGGTATCAAGTAATATCAAGTATAATTCAAAAAAGCTTTAAGTCATTCAAGTTTTATAGTTGATCCCAAAATTAGCCTATTTTACCCGTGTTAATAATTGAGCAATTTTTGTTTCTTTATTTTCATTTTTTTTCCCTACTGGAATATACCCCTACTGAAACAATTTGAAGTCATTCAATTGGAATATTCTTTATACGATTCAGAGGAAAATGTTCAATGATTTTAGGATAAATTTCACTGACATTTCCTGAGTTTTAAAAAAGCATAAGTTTCACGATTTTAATATAATTACATTGATTTTTCTTTTAATAAAGTTAAATTGATTGAAACTAATGTAGATGTTGTGAAAACGCAAAAATAAAACAACGTAAAATATATATTTTTGTATAAAAGAGTTGATAACATCATTTTTCACACATATAACTAACAGATTATTGATGAAAATAAGACTAATTGTTTGGGAACTTGGTTTGGGGCTAAAATAGCCACAAAAAACAAAATAGGCTATTTTAGCCACAAAAAACAAAATATCAAATCCAACTCATAATCATTACAATCCTCTCTCACAAAAAAAGCCAAAAAAGCCAAAAAGCCAAAAAGCCCTTCCCAAACCAGGCTAAAATAGCCAAAAAGCCAAAAAGTCAAAAAGCCAACCCACTTCCCAAACGGAGGCTAAATATTATATATAAATCAAAATCACAAAGAAAATCAATGTAATTATGTCAAAATGATAAAATTTATTGTATTTTTTTCAAATGTTAAGTAAGGTTTCAAGTCTTTGACCTTTAAGCCACTAGTTGACAAAATTTCAAATTTTAAGTGAGACTCTGCTAGAAATATTCTTATAGGAAAATGGTTTATCCATAGAATTTTTGTATAAAAATATATCTAAAATGATATAATAATAATAATATTTTTTAAAATTATAAATTGTAGTGATAGATGTTCCATATAAAATAAAATGAGCACAAATAACTACATTATTATATATCCAAAAAAAAATTATTAAATTTTGTTTCTATAATAGTAAAGTTCTAAATTTATCAACTATTATTGTTTTTTTTATATTTGAATTCATGCTATTCTAAGTAAAATGTCACACTCTTTGGGTCTACCAATTTAAAACACATCATGTGAAAATAACATTTATACTACTAATCACACCTATCAATGTTGGGGCCTTTAGAAAATTCAATATATTCTTCAACCAAGGGAACATCACTCTCAAATCGTGCCAACTTTGAAAACTTAATTGATATTAAACTTTAAAAGAGTCAAAAGTGAAAACAACCCCCCAACAAATTTTTATTTTTATAATATTTTGAAATTATTTATGCATTCCACCTGGTGCCCTAATGGATGATTTACAAATTAATAATAAAAAGAAAATAATAATAAATATAGAAGTACAGAATGCATTGTAACATACGCATTTTCTGAGAACTCATATTTAATTATTTTTATAAATACTGTACAATAAAGAAATAAATCTTCTCATATAATCCTGTTGACCAAGTCTGCGCTCCTCCGTACGACGTCACCTTATCACTTGAAAACACAAACGTGAGCTAGCCGGCGGGTGTGTGCCGGAAACCTCTCCGATACCTAAGTTAGCAAACTTGACAAATAGATAAAGCTCTGTGAATTCAGAAAGCAAAGTTGTGTGTTAACTCCCCAAAGGTGATATTTATGAGCTTTTATAGGTTTTGTGTGGCACAATCCTAGTAGGACTGCTACTCCTCCATGTAGAGTCATCCTAGGATTCATACTCCTCTAGGATAATGTTTATCCTTTAACACCCCCATCACTGCTTAAACCAAGTGATATGGTTATTACTACGGCCGAACTCCATCATGACCGAAGTAATTATGGTTATGCCGAGCCTCAGAGTAGGCCGAACTAGTTCTTCCTTTTACTTCTCGTACGTCGGCTTCTCATGCACAACACACGGCGTGGTTAGGCCGATCTAACAAGTCGTGACCGGTATAACTCCAAGACCGGTCTAACGCAAAGGTACTGTTAGACCGATCTTACTTCGTTCTTACGTCGGACTGGACTGGCTTCACAGTCTTAGGACCGGACTAACTTCGGAATATCCATACGACCGGAGTGACTTACGTGGCCCCTTTACTAGGTCCTTTATACTGTGGCTCATAACGGCCCATTACCCAGCTCGGCCCAATTTTCACATAAATTACCCTCTCAATTGCCCCTTAATTCCATCTGCCTAGCATGATTGGGATTATCTGTCAACCAGCCGAGCTATAACTTTTAAGCCTTTATAGCCGAGCTAAAAAACCCTTTAGCCTCTCCAGCCGAGCTAAAGATTCTTTATCCTTCCGGCCGAGCTTATTTCACTCTGGGCTTTACTTGTCCGGTCAAAACGTCTCTTCAATCACAGCGACTGTAACGCTTCCTATTCTAATGACACGTGGTACGCTCTGATTGACTGAGGACGGCTGTCACGCCGTCTTCGTATTTCGTACTTTTTGAACAGTCCCGCCCAATTTTTGGGCTTTCAAACAAAAACAAACCCTGAGGCCAGAGTCCCTTCACTTTTGCCATCCATCTTCTT